ACACACACAGTGCCCATCATTAATGAGTACATGCCCAACAGATCTCTTGATGATAGCTGGAAGACACTATCGAAGAGGTGTGTGAAGTCTTTAACAATACTTTTTCCTCTACTGGAGTATTATGGAAGTAAAATGTGTATTTGCTTTATTTATAGAGCACATTTAAAAACAACAGATGTTGACCAAAGTGCTTATCGTCCGGAATGTCCTGAATGGAGGGGAGAGGGAGCACCAAAGATCTTTCAGCAGTGTTGCTCCATATTAAAATATCATTCCAAACTGAAATGAACAGCCACCTTATCGTGGTGGAGGGCTTTGATTGCCTGAGTGATTCTAAGAGCTGTTGTTGGGGGCTAATACCCCTGGTAGGGTCTCCCAAGGCAAAAAGGTCTTAGGTGACAGGTCAGACTAAGTGCGGTTTAAAAACCCCCTATGAGCACAACAACATCAAGGATCGTGACGTCACCCGGTGTGGCACAGCCAGGCCCCCACCCTGGAGCCAGGCCTAGGGTTGGGGCTCGTATGCGAGTAACTAGTGGCTGGGTTTTATCCCACTCAGCTCCAAGGAGTGACGTGGGACCATCCTCCTGCAGGCCAATGGCAACCTGATCGTCAGGCACAGACACGAGCTCTTGGGACATGGACTGTCATCTCACTGGGAGGGAAGGAGCCCGAGCTTGTGCGGGAGGTGAAATGGCGCTGAGATAGCTCGGGCATTTGTTTCAGATCCTCCTGGACGCCTACCTAGGGAGGTGTTCAAGGCATGTCCCACCAGGAGGAGGCCTCAGTGAAGACGCAGGACACGGCTGGCCTGGGAATGCCTTGGGATCCCTCCGGAAGAGCTGGAGAAAGGGAAGTCTGGGGGTTCCTCCTGACATTGCTGCCCCCATGACCCGGAAAAGCAGATGAAAATGAATGAATGAATTCATTCAAGTGCTCAATTGGCCACTTTGGATGGCATAGAGGATTTTGAAATGGTGGACACTTGAGTTCCCATGATCCTTTGTGTAGGAAAGTTGTTTGGTGTCGCAGAATGACAACTGGAGATGCAGACTTCAACTTTACTCATTAATGTAAGTGCATATATAGACCATTTCAAAGTGGTGATGTCACTGGCCCTTGAACATTTCCTGCTTGTTGTTAAACTATTTCTTAACTGCAATGAGGCAATTTAATCATAACTTGACATTAAGAGTTCTCGAAACAGTATTTCACAATATGTGGAACTTACTGGATTCTCTGAAGCTATAGATAATAAAAATATAAAACTGGAAGTACGTTAGAACCATTGTTGTTGTTTACATCCCCAAAATAGGCTAGTACTAGTCATAATAGTTAGTTAGGCTACTACTATAATATTTATGAGTTCTAAATAAAATATTTACAAATATAATAAAATGCTAAAAACATACATAGATGGATAGATAAATAAATAAATACAGCACAATGTACAATCATCCTTCCAATTGTGTGTTTTGGTCTCAACCAGCAGCTAAAAAGTATGATGATGACACTCCTCGTTGCTCGTCTCACTAAGATGATGCAGAAGTGTGTTCCAATAAATAACCTTTTTTTGAACCATACAGCCTTTATCCTTTCAAAATTGACACTCCCGTGGGTAAACCCTAGAAGGGATTAGGGGATAGGGATGTACATTTAGTCATTTAGCAGACGCTTTTATCCAAAGCGACTTACAAATGAGGACAAGGAAGCAACTTACACAACTATAAGAGCAACAATGAATAAGTGCTGTAGGCAAGTTTCAGGTGGGTAAAGTGTAAGAAGCAAAGCGTTAGTAACGTTTTTTTTTTTTGTAGTACAGTTAGCGGTAGAGCCAGAGAGGCAATTGCAAATTAGAAAGTGAAGTATAGACTAAATAGTTGAGTTTTTAGTCGTTTCCTGAAGACAGCGAGTGACTCTGCCGTTCTGATGCAGTTAGGGAGTTCATTCCACCAACTGGGCAGATTGAATGCGAGAGTTCAGGAAAGCGATTTCTTCCCTCTTTGGGATGGAACCACGAGGCAACGTTCATTCACAGAACGCAAGTTCCTGGAGGGCACATACATCTGCAAAAGTGAGAGCAGATAAGGAGCAAAGCCAGAGGTCGCTTTGTAGGCAAACATCAGAGCTTTGAATTTGATGCGAGCTGCAACTGGCAGCCAGTGCAAACGGATGAGCAGCGGAGTGACATGTGTTCTTTCAGGTTCATTAAAGACCACTCGTGCTGCTGCCTTCTGGAGCAGCTGAAGAGGTTTATTAGAGTTAGCTGGAAGCCCGCCTAGTAGAGAGTTGCAATAGTCCAGTCTGGAAAGAACAAGAGCTTGAACAATGAGTTGAGCTGCATGTTCAGATAGGAAGGGTTGGACCTTTCTGATGTTGTAGAGTGCGAATCTGCAAGATCGAGCAGTTCTAGAAATGTGGTTTAGTGAAGTTTAGTTGGTCATAAATCGTTACTCCAAGCCGTTTTACCATTTTGGATGCAGTACTAGTTGCCCCATCCATCTGGATTGAAAAGTTATGGTGTAGAGTCGGGTTGGCAGAAACTTCAAGCATTTCCGTTTTTGCGATGTTAAATGGAAGCAGATGAAAATTAATGAATGTTGAGCCATTATCAATGGAAAGCAGTGAGAGTTCGATTCAAAACAGGGATTATATTTGTTACAATGTCGCGTTTTGTTCTTGGTGCGGTTCACTTTCACATAGCAAAGTTTCAAAATAGAAAAGAATTATTAAAACAAGTCACGTGCGAGTAAACTCCTCACATTGGTCAGAGTTTGGTTGATTTTCCAGGATTCCACTCAGCTGTCACATGTCGTTGTTTTAACTTATGACGATGAGAAAAAGACATAAGTACATTATAAAGTGTGCTTATAATCTACATATGGTGACATTGTGACCAAATATATATCAGAAATAAGACTTTCTCATACATAGCCTCAACTCAATTGTCTTCCACTAATATTTAACAGTGTATCATTTAGTTGCCGATCTTATGATGTGAACACGCCAGCAAATGAACGCTACCCAATATAGTTCAGTGTGAAAACAAAGGCAATTCAACAGTTTTGAAAATCATCCAGTGTGAACTCAGCATTACATAATCATGAGGAAGACAAGAGGAAGAAGACAAACAATTAAAAGTTAACGTAACATTCGTCTTAATTAGTTTCCTGCATATATAATGGGCCTGATAATTATACACTTACAGCTTGTTCCTTTTCTGTAAACCAGTGTTTGTTAATGAACAACTCTATATATGTTGTTTTGGTCTTCAAACACACACTTACACCATCTGCTGGTAAAGTTGGCAAACACCAGATGGGGAAAATGCAAATGTCTACTGCTATTCCTACTGTTCCCAGATGGTGGCGTTGATAGGAATTATTATGGGTCCTATGCATATGCAACTGTAATGCATAATGGCACAATGAAGGATTCTTGATCCAATAATGTGCTTTCTTCAAACTCTACTGTGGCCTTTTTAAATATGTTTTAATACATTCATGATCTATTATCAAATTGACACTTTTACACATAATTGCAAATAGATTATTTCTCTAGGCTAATAACTGAATGCTACTAACCTAATATCTAAATACTAATATTTCAAAACACTTCGAAGTGGTGTTTAAAAACATCCGCGCTTCAGGATTTCGACAGTGTGTCGAAAATCAGTTTCACGTCAACCATCACTTATGGTGCTCTCACACCAGGCGCAGGTGATGCATTGAGCGTGAGTGATTTACATGTTAAGCCAATGCAAAGACACGATTGGATATCCTGCAGCACTATTTGGCTGATAAAGCAAATTTGTAAACTTGGTGTTTTCACAGGTGTATATTGATTGTTTGTTCCAAAACCAGGAGTATAATTGTTACCATGTCGCGTTTTGTTCTTGGTGCGGTTCGCTTTCACACGGCAAAGTTTTTAAATGGAACAAAATCAAGTCAAGTGCGAGTAAACTCCTCACATTGGTCAGAGTTTGGTTGATTTTCCAGGATTCAGCTGTTGCACGTCGTTATTTTAACTTATGACGATGAGAAAAAGACATAACTACATTCTAAAGTGCACTTATAATCTACATATGATGACATAGTGACCAAATATTTATCAGAAATAAGACTTTCTCATACATAGCCTCATCTTAATTGTCAAAGGTTGAAAAAAAATAAATTATATATAAGTTGGGTTGGTGCTATATATTTTTTTAAAAGGATGATTTCTTATTCGACATGACACACTTATAACGGTAGGAATGACATCCCTTCCAACTCATCTCTCTTCATATAGCCATACACACACACACACACACACACACACACACACACACACACACACACACACACACATATATATATATATATATATATATATATATATATATATATATATATATATATATATATATATATAATATCTAATGTCTAGGTGCTTTCAAAATGTTCAAGCATCCAATTACGCACTGATAGCATGATCTATTTGCACAATTGGGCATGGCTAATATACTTAACCACGCCCCTCAAGCTGTCAGTTATGACAACAAACAGAAATGGTGAGCAGGAGGAGGAGTCTGTTAGGTTGCAATAACTTTCTCCAACCCATTTTCCCGATCTTTCTGAATGAAATGCCAACTTCACTACATTCAATCAGCTCGCAGTTGGAAAAACAAGCCATGCTCACTGTTTTGTCATTTATTATTCTGTTTCTCTAGGAACTGCGTCACAATACGAAAAAAAATGATTTCAACTTCTCGTTCATGTGGACTTCAAGCTTTTCTAATACAAGAACAAGTAAGAGTAAAATAAATTTACCACACTGACCAATGCTAAAGCATGTGTGCACAATATGTGCAATATAAGTGGGCGTATCCACTTACAAGCATATGCCTCATTCTTCAGCAGTTTAAATGGCGGCAAAATAGTAGATCAGCATTCCATGACAAAGTGCCAGTCATTGCTCATTTACACGCTTAACCCATTAAACTCACACGATAGTTAAATGAACACAACTAAAAACTTTATTAGAACATAAATATATTTAGAAACCCATTTTTGAACAAAAAAAATAATAATTCCAGTTCCCAAAAAAAAAGTTACAAAATGAATATAAATCAACATAAAAGTAACGTTTTACAGCCAATCAAAGACTTTCAGTTTACACGTCTTAATATTCACGTTCTTTTGAGCAATTAAAATCTTTCAAAATTCAGTTTCATTGTTGTTTTGTAACAGAAAACAAGGGGAAATTCATCATCATGACTCGTTAATTTAAAGGCGCGACGTAATAAGTAGTTTCATTCAAGCTGAATCTAAAATCAGACCTAGAAAAAGTAAGTTTTCAACATGTCTGTTGTCCTGTAAGGCGTATGAGACAAACTCATATCCTTCATTACCCAGTAGTGCAGTTTTGTCCAGCACACATCAGTCTTTACAGCAGTGTAGGTCTCCCACCTTATAGCTGAGCTGCTGGGAGGGTAAAAACACGGTAATGTTCAGCTGAAGGTGTTTTTTTACATCCCTGCCAGCTCTGCCTGCTTCTCATCCTCAGACTCAGGCTGGTTCTCGTCATCTCCGTTATAATTAGCCACATCGTCCTCTAGATCTTGACCTGCGCCTTGGTTTTCATCTGTCAGAAAACAGGAGAAATGTTCATTAAAAGTCACAACTATATAATAGATTTAATATACAGTGTTTAGCATTATAAGTATACACCCGCTTTAAAAAAAAAACATAGTTTCATCCACTTCTCAGTGAATATAGACAATTTTGGTGCATTTAAACAAATGAGTTAACAAACAGTTATATCTAATTAAAATAAGGCCATCTAACATACACTAACTGGCCATTTTATTAGGTATACCTGTCCAACTGCTCGTTAACGCAAATTTCTAATCCGCCAATCACATGGCAGCAACTAAATGCATTTAGGCATGTAGACAAGGTCAAGACCAACTTGAAGTTTATTTTTGCAAAAAGACTTCAGCATTATAGCCCCTGCCTTGTGCTGTTTCCCTCATTTTTCTTATGAGTGCTGCAGCATTCTACACGCTTACAACAGGGGATTTGTCGGCCGTTTGTTAAAGGAAGGATCAGAAAAGACTATTGATGTATGGGACTTTGCAGTACACAGTTCATGGATCAGTTTCATCCTTCATTTCACAAGTGTAAGTAAGTGCAAGTAAAATGGTTGCCTTCTTGTGTTCTCTAGCTTGCAAAGTATGTATTTAATTGTGTTTTGTTACTTGTAACTGCTCCACGCAGCTTGTAGTGTATATTGTTAATTTAAACACGTTTGTGAGGGTCAAGATCCACTGCAGTTTGTTGTTGCTATCCGCTTGTTAAGTGATGAAGTATGTAATACTGTTTTCGTGTCCAAGCCGCCATTCATTTGAGTGGAGAAATCATTCGTTTATGATCACGTTTTTATTCCTATCACACATTAAAGTGAATTTTATATAAAATCAGTGTACACAACAATCTCTGGGCTTGCTGCATAACAAATACCAAAAATTTAACAATAAAAAAAAAAATGAATAACTTTCTGGCCATCGGATATTAGGCATGGACATATATACTGCGATCGTGATTTTCGAAAGTATTAAATCGCTTTGTAAACGTTTATTATTACCATTTCATGAGTCTCCCCATTCAGTTGAATAGAGCGCTTGGACCCGGAAGCCGATTCGCGTGACGTCACACTTAACAAGCGGATGGTGACCGTCAGCTGTTCCTACATATATGCGAAGGTCAAGTATCAAAATAGTTCAGCTTTTGCCACTGTGTGGATTAATACTGGATGTGTGTCATGGTTAAGAATAGAGCAATATGTTGGTGTTTAACTGCATTGCTTTAATGCGCTCCTACATTAGGCTCACACATACACTGATTACTTAAACAATGTTGATTGGTGGGCGTTTCTCTCCGTCTCGCACTGAACGCAGTCGACCAATCGGAACAGACTGGATCATTGGACCAATCAGCCCAGATTAGCATCGCGCAAAGGAGGGGTTTGGGAACAAATTAATCGCTGTATGAATCATGCCACGTTTGGATAATTAGGTAAAAATAATACTATAAGACAATGAAAGTGTTTTTTGACCTTGCATGAATATCAGCATGTTGTTGGAGACCCACAAAACTAAAATATGATTTTTAAATGCAAAATAGGGACTCTTTACTTAAAAACAACTATTAATTATAACCCTTTTTGGTGATTTTCTGGAATACCACTATATCATTAAATATATTATTACTGTGGCATAAAATTACTCACAACATGAAATTTTGGTCATACCGCACACCCACTGTGAATATATGTGTGTGATGATCAATAATGGAAGAGCACCTTTAATCTGAGAGAGCTGTTTCTCGATCTCGCCCTCGTTGTCGTACATGATGGCATCTTCCTTCCCAACTGCAGCATCTTCCTCCTTCAGATCCCCGGCTTTCAGTTTTAAATCCTCATCATCTTCTTCCTGATTCGCATCTCCAATCCCAACATCATCTTCCTCATTGGCATCTCCAATCCCAGCCTCATTTTCCTTCGGTTCTAAAATATCTGCTTCATCCAGCACAGCCTCTGCATGAAGAAACATGACATTTCCAATATACATGCACAGTTGATGTCAAAAATTATACCCCTTCTGTGAATTTTATTTTCAGATATTTCCCAAATGATGTTTGATTTTTCACAGCATTTCCTATAATATTTTTTCTTCTGGAGAAAGTCTTATTTCATTTATTTCGGCTAGAATAAAAGCAGTTTTACATTTTTTTAAAACCCATTTTACGGTCAATATTATTAGCCCCATTAAGCAATATTTATTTTATATTGCCTACAGAACAAGCAATGACTATACAACTTGCCTAATTACCCTAGTTATGTCTTTAAATGTAACTTTGAGCTGAATAGTACAGTCTTAAAAAATATATTGTCAAGTATTATGTGCTATCATCATGGCAACAATAAAATAAATCAGTTATTAGAAATGAGTTATTAAAATTATTGTGTTTAAAAAAAGAAAACTTCTTTCTGTTAAAGAGAAATTGGGCAAAATATACAGGGGGGCTAATAATTCTGACTTCAACCGTATATGTGTGTTGCTTTAAATGCTGGATTCCCTCCATTAGCCCAGAGGTTCTCAAAGTGGGGGTCGGGACCCCCCGAGGGGTCACGGGACAATGAAAGGGGGTCGCCTGGTGATTTTCAAAAATCAATTAATTTTTATTAAACCTTAAGACTTACTGTATTTTATCAATAACCTACTGAAGAGAAAAAAATAGTCGTTTATAGTTACTATAAACTATATAGTTACTATAGTAGCTTATAGTTACTATTTCTATTGGATTGCGACTTCTCGGGTAATTACATTATGCTAAAGACACAGCAATACTGTCAGATGCAGCAGATTTTGTAACACCAGGTTAAACTTTCTAGTCCATTTACAGCACTGACATACATAAAAAAAACAAAGAATAGACTTGGGTTTATTGGTGTGTTTGTGCGCGTCATTGCATACAAGGTTTCTGTATTTATAACCACCACCTCAGAGAATATTGGGGGTCACGAGTCACTGGCATTGTCATTTTGGGGGTCGCGGGCTGAAAAGTTTGGGAACCCCTGCATTAGCCCACCTGCATCCTTTGGAGCCGGTTCTTTAATGTCCTCCACTGCTTCTGCAACCGCTTCATAGGCTGGCTTTTTGAGGGTCTCACTCTTGTTGGTCAGTTTGGAGGCAGCAATAGGCGTGTCTTGTAAAATCACAGCATCTTAGAGGAGCAGACAGAATGTTGTTAGAATACAAGCTTTTGACATTTCTCAGAAGCTTTAGTTGATTAAAATGCTACATCTGTGTTTGGAAACTACAACAAATACGAGCACTTTCCAAAAGTTACCAAGAAGGCACCTTGAGGTCAAAATGACAATCAAACTGACCTTGACATAAAAAAATATGCAAGAAATGCTAATCGGTTTGACATCTACACATCAATGCCCCTAAACACCAAAATAATGACACAAAATTATTATAATACGAAAAGTTTTATTAATCTGGAAGCTTCAATTCCAAATGAACACTGGGTTTTGTGCCCCTAAAATGCATGTAATCGTCCTTGATGTCAAAGCGGCATCAAAATTACTTCTAAAATTGTCTTTTGAGGCGCAAAAACACGCACAAGTTATTTATTATATAAGAAAAAGCCTCACTCAGCTTCTCCCACCACAGAAAAATCAGTTTTTCTTTTTGATATTTGGTGCCAGTATATCAGGAAGTGATGATTTTGTTCTTTTTAACTCATTGGATAGATTGATCGCATTATTTGTAAATCTTTTATGCAATATTGAAGTTTTGTGCATGCATTTAATTTGCATCTTTGAATGGAAACAGCTCACGATGGTGGATTACATTTTTTTTGTCATGCTACTTTGATTGCTGTCCAGTATAAAATCGAGCGGCGTGTAATCATTCTTATATTATTATCATTAGCGTTTAAACAACATAAAACATTATATGCTTTTAACCCATGTGTATTGTTCAAATTGGCTACCCTTTCATTACATCAGTGGCTGTTTTTGCCCCATTGACCTCTGTTAGAACTACATTTTTCATTGCAAGACCATGACTAAATACACCAACTATTCATAAATTTTTAATTGTTGATGGTTTTCACTGTTGGGAAGGGGTCAAAGAAGTCATTTGAACTGTTGATTTTCAGTTGGCAACATTAACGCTTGTGCAAAAAGGTTTCTGGCTTTTATATGAAGTTCTATGGAGTAAAACAACAAATTATAGTGCATGCATAATTACACTTACTATGTTCTAAGAGCTGAGCTGCTTATTTTGATTTTCTCAGACATATTAAGTTAAGTGTGCAAAAGTTGCTCACAAACACACTCACACATTATGGTCCATATAAAAGCCAGAAACTGAGCTTTTTTTTTTTGATAACACTTTATTTTGATGGTGCATTTGAGTATTAGTAGACTTAACATCTGTTGATACTGCTGCTAAACAGATATTTAACTTACTATAAGAAACTTTGCAAGTACATGTCAACTTACACTAACAATAACCCCAACCGAACAGTGTACTTATAATCTAATGAGAATTAGGCTGTACTCACACTATGTACAGTTGCCTTGAACCGGGCAGAAGCCCGCTTGTCCCCCTCCCGTCTCCCCTGACTGCCCGCACTCACATTACATTCAGGCCTGGGCACGCTTACGTCATCGATGGTGCGCTGTTCAGTAAGTGCTCTCGCTCAGCACAGTGAAGATTTTTTTAGCTATATTGTTTTACTCATTTAATAAACGGTGTCATGCAGTTAAATATTTCGCTGAACAGATCAGCCCCTTTTGATGCTCATAAACAATCAGTAAGTCCTTATGCTGCAGGAATTAGGAGGTTTTCTGAAGGTGCAGCTGTCATGCAGTGAGGGATTTGCGTCTTTAATAACCTAAGACAGTTTGCATTCACTAAACGGTGAGAATGATTAATAAATCCATATGAAACAGTCCCTTAAAAGTCACGTCTCGTCTTCAGTTTAGGGCTCACTGAGCCCAAGTGAACCGCAATTTGGCAAAGCTCTTCCAACCTGGCCAGGGCTGGCCAAGTGGACCGCGACTGAGCCTGATTCAGCGCACTCGCACTTCTCAAACGATCCGGGAAACGGGCCTGGGCACGGTTTAGATAGCATAGTGTGAGTATGCCCTTAGGGCCTACTCGCACTATGCCATCCGTACCGTGCCCAGGCCCGTTTCCCGGATCGTTTGAGAAGTGCGAGTGCGCTGAATCCGGCTCAAGCACGGTTCACTTGGCCAGCCCTGGCCCGGTTGGAAGAGGTGTGCCTGAGCGCGGTTCACTTGGGCTTTGGCGCGGTACGTTTGTAGTGTGAGTGCAAAACGCGCCAAAGCCCGAAACTGAAAGCGAGACGTGACTTTTAAGGGACTGTTTGATATGGGTTAATTAATCATTCTTACTGTTCAGTGAACGCAAATTGTGGTAGTTTATTAAAGAGGCAAACCCCTCACTGCACAACAGCTGCGCGCCTTCAGCAAACCTCCTCATTCCTGCAGCATGAGAGCTTTATGATTGTTTATGAGCGCCAAAAGTGGCAGATCTGTTCGGCGAAATATCTGACTGCGTGTCACCGCATCCCTAAGGACAGTTTGACGAAATATTTGACTGCATGTCACTCCATATTAAACGACTGAAATGATATAACAAGAGAAATCTCCACTGTGCTGCTGAGTGAGAGCGCTTCTCACTGAACAGCACAGCAGCGATGACGTAAGCGTGCCGAGGCCCGATTGTGTGTGAGTGCGGGCCGTCGGGGGGACGAGATGGGGGACAAGCGTGCTTTGGCCCGGTTCGAGGCAACTGTACATAGTGTGAGTACGGCCTTAGTTGCTGTGTAGATGCAATATACCTTAAGTTCAACAAACGGACCATCAAATTAAAGTAACTTTTTTTTTGCACTGCAATTGATGATCAACAGAAAAAAATGACAAACTGTACCTCTTCCCAACAGATAAAAAAACCCAACAATTAGGAATCCATAATAATAGGGTGTCATGGCTTTGCAATCAAAAAAATGTCATTATAATGGAAATCAATGGGTCAAAAACAGCCACCAATGTAATGGAAGAGTAGTCAATTTTTCCAGAGTGTATTGTTGTGTTTTTTTTTAAATGCAAAGCATTTTCATAAAAAAATAAGCATGAAAATAAGATTTTGTCACCAAAAAGCATTCATTTGCTCAAACACCGACATTGTGTGGCTAAATTAAGCCTCAAAATCGCCTCAGAGATGAAAACTTATTTAAACATCTTGAGACTAAAAACAAAGAAAACCATCAACAAACAGGCAACTCTCACCTTTAGCATCTTTCTCCACTACCAACTCATTGGTTTCAACCTGAGCATCGAGATTGGATGGTGAATCCACATCTGGTTTTCCGTTTGGAGGTTCTGCTGGGTTTTTATTTAAATCGTTTGAAGCGAGAACATCAGATTTGGCTTTCAAGACTTTCTGCTCGGGACCATCAGCATCCTGGAAAGAAAAGATTTTCAGTGAAAAAGGGTTAAGACAACAACAACAACAAAAAAGTAGCACTTTAAAAGAGCCATTAAAGAGGATAGTTCACACACATGAAACTTAAAAATTTCTTCCCTATTTATTTTAGACTTTCTACTATTTCGATCCATTTACTCAAGAGGTTCTAAATGGTAAAACTTAAGTTAACATTAGGCGGCACGGTGACTCAGTAAATGTCACCTCACAGCAAGAAGGTTGCTGATTCCAGTCCCGGCTGGGCCAGTTGGCAGTTCTGTGTGGAGTTTGCATGTCCTTCCTGTGTTGGCATGGGTTTCCTCCAGGTGCTCCGTTTTCCCCCACAGACCAAAGACATGCGCTATTGGTGAATTAATCAACTAAATTAGTGTATGGGTAAACTCGCACTAGGCTATCTAAACACTGCACAGGCACTTCGACCCTCATTTCCGGGCTTGTTTCAGAAGAGTGAGTGGCCTGAATTGGGCCAAGGCACAGTTCAATTGGCCGGCCCTGGCCCAGTAGAAAGAGGTGTACCAGAGCGTGGTTTGGTTAGGCTTTGGTGCGATACGCTTGCAGTGTGTGTTCAAAGTAAGCCTGAGAGCAAAACTTTAGACGTGACTTTCTTTTTAAGGAACTGTTTCATATAGATTTATGAATCATTCTTATTTTTCAATGAATGCCAACTGTCATAGTTGATTAAAGATGCAAACCCCTCTCTGTTTGACAGCCGCCACCTTCAGTAAATCTCCTAATACCTGCAGCACGAGGACTTTTATGAACATTTATGAGCATCAAATGTGGTGGAATTGTTCAGCAAAATATTTGAGTGAGTGTCACCGCATATCAAACCAGTTAAAATAATCCAAAATCATTTAACTAAAGCAATGTCCACTGTACTGAGTGAGAGCGCTTCTCTTCTGTTAAACTGAACAGTTGCATCGATAGCACAACCGTGCTCAGGCTCAGAAGGCAAAAAATGCAATGGTAGAACAGGCCATCAGGGGAGAGGGGAGGATGGACAACCATGTTTAGGTTCAAGACAACCATGTCTAGTGTGAGTGCATCCCATGAGTGTGTGTGTTTAAATGAATGAGTTCATGGGTGTTTCCCAGTACTGGATTGCGGCTGGAAGGGCATCCGCTGTGTAAAACATAAGCTGAAACAGTTGGCGGTTCATTCCACTGTGGTGACCCCAGATAAATAAAGGGACTAAGCCGAAGGAAAATGAATAAAAAAGTAAACATGAACTAACAATATTTAACATCATTAACATTAACAAAGGGACATGTCACGGTGGTACAGTGGGGTAGCATGATTGCCTCACAGCAAGAAGGTCGCTGGTTCGAGCCCCAGCTGGGTCAGTTGATATTTCTGAGTAAAGTTTGCATGTTCTCCCCGTGTTGGCGTGGGTTTCCTTCAGGTGCTCCGGTTTCCCCCACAGTCACATGCGCTATAGGTAAACTAAATTGTCCGTAGTGTATGTGTGTGAATGAGTGTGTTTGGATGTTTCCCAGTAATGGGTTGCAGCTGGAAGGGTATCCGCTGTGCAAAACATATGCTGGATAAGTTGGCGGTTCATTCCGCTGTGGTGACCCAGAATTAATAAGGGGACTAAGCCGAAGGAAAATGAATGAATGAATTCACATTGACAAAGATAAATAAATAGATTATACAATTATAATAGCTTATACATACATGCATATACACATATATAAATACAGCAAATGGACTAATGGATAATAAATTGAATAGAAATAAAACTAATGGACCATTATGTAAAAAAAAAAAAAAACATTTAATTTTATTTTTTTAATGAATTTACCATAATTTTTTACCTTCTAAAATGTATAAATTTCTTTTTTGTGTTGAACTTAAAACAAGATATACTGAAGAATTTTGGAAAACGTTATTATGGAACATCCTTTAGTATACCTTCATTTGTGTTCAAGAAATTCAGACAAGTTTGAAACAATTGGAAGGAGAGTAAATGATAATGGAATATTCATTTTTGGGTGAACTATCCCTTTAATAATTAATCATTCATTTATTTATTTACCTGTGGATCCACCTTTTCAGCCGTCTTGAGTTTCTCTTGTTTGGCAGCTGCTATCTTCACACTGCATTCCTCTTTTGTTGCCTCAATTTCTTTGTTACACCGAGTCCTGAATGCACACACACACACACAACATACTCATCAAGCACTATAACTTGTTTTGCATTTCAGTGAGAGCGTTCAGAAATGGACCTACTTGTCACTGTTGGCTTTCTTTGTGAGCGTGTCCATACTACTATGACAGGACTTCAGTTCACTCTGCATCTTATTCACATCCTCCAGTAACGACTTCATACGGTCTGATGGAGAAAAATCAACAGTGACGTTAAACAGTTGATATGCTTCACATAACAGGATAAATATAAGGCAGACACTCACTCTTCATGTTTTGTACTGCTTTAGCACTGGAGGAAATGTTGAGCTGCAGATTCTCCTGAGGAAAAGAGAAGACTTTCAGACACTCGTCTTACAGCTGAAGTCAAAACTATTAACCTGCATGTGAATTAAGTCTTTCTTAAATACTTCCCAAACAATGTTTAGCAGAGCAAGGAATTTTTCGCAGTGTTTGCTATAATATTTTTTCTTCCGGAAAAAAGCTTTATTTGTTTTATTTTGGCTAGAATAAAAGCATCTTTAAATTTTTTAAAACCATTTTAAGGTAAATATTATTAACTCACTTCAGCAATAAATTTTTTTCAATTGTCTACCGTCTGCAAATCTGGCCGGTGCTGCCTTGTCAGTTAAGTTTAATTTGCTTGCAACTGTTTGTCAATTGCATCTTAAACGGTCACGAAACACCAAAACACATTTTTTGAGCTGTTGACAGTCGTATATGTGTCCCACACTGCTAAAGATACTATTCGGACACCTATATTTCACTAAAAAGTGTAAATTGGTTGTTTTTGCGTCATTTCAAGCAAATTCGTACTTCCGGTTTGAAACGAATTTTTGAAGCTGCGTCACGGTCATGATATAATAGCCTGTATTCCAGCGTGCAGACTGGACGTCTGTACCAGAGTGTGTCTTATTACGTCTTACAGTGTGATGCATTGATGTATGCATGAGTAAAGCTTGGTTCAAACCAATCAACGCGCTCTATTGTACAACTTCATTAATATTCATTACTGTCACAGTGTTTAGACGACAGAGACGCCACGTTGTGTTGGCAAAACAAGCGTGAAGTGTTGCTTTTATAGTTTGCTGCCGTTAAGTTTCGTTTTCTCTCTGTGAGAGCGCAGCTGGAGTCAGTTCGTATTTTATTCGTATCGAACAAACTATTGCACTGAGTGTAAACATGTTAGCACCACAACCAAACTTTAACCTCGTGTAGGATTTTCACCGCATTTTGTGACCGGAATAACACACGCGCCTTTCTGACGTTACCTGTCAAGTGCATCTAAGTTTCCGGGAAATGCATGAAAAATACACGCTTAGATCAGTTCCTCGAATCAAATATCACGTTTGTCGCGAGGTCATGAATGAATTCCCTGAATGAAAGAGTCAAAAAGTTAAAGTCCACCATTTAATAATTTGGCAAATAATTCGACTACAGATGTCCATGTAAACACAGTCACTTTCTCCCGTGTGTGTGTGTGTGTTTTGACTCTGAAATTCAGCGCACCCAAATAGACCCTCCCACACCATCCCACTTTAGTTCCTCCGACACTCCCCCTAAACAGAGCTGGACACGCCCACTTTTCTGACTTTTTCCAAAGTAGAGGTGTGAAAACACCCAGCTGAAACGAGGGGGTTTCATGGCCCTTTAAAATACAGAAACAGTTTTTGCTTTTAAGCCTTTAAATGCTAACTTGTCTGTGAAGTGTACACCATATTGGGTTTCGCTTCCTCTTATCTGATTGGATGTTGTAAGCTAGGGATGCACGATATATTGGCGGCCAGTTGCAGAAACATCTTCTGATGCACAACCTTCGACACATCATCAGTGTTGTTTCCTGGACTCACAGGGTGTTTCGGGTCTTGCAACAGACACTGACCGAGGCTGATCAGACTCTGGCCTGTGTCCAAGTGGCATGCTACTGCCCCCACCGTTCCTACCTCTTCAACCAGAGCCATCTAGATGCTTTTTTCTGCTGCCTCCACGTTGTTACTTATGGCTCTTCTTCGGTTGTTGCCTGTTATTCCAAGTGTACCATAGGCCTTGCTAGGGGGGAAGCTGGCAAATCCCCTACTGCCCACTTCCACTGGCATGCATCTGGTCCTCTATCAATTCGCCCGACATTGCTCCACTAGCTCTTGGTATTTTCCCCTCTTCCTCTCCTGAGCCTCCTCGATCCTCTCCTCCCAGGGCACAGTTAGCTCCGGCAGGATGAATTGCCTTGTGGCCTCACAGACCAAGATTATGTCAGGTCTCAATGCAGACTGGGTGATGTGTGGTGGAATCTTTAGCTGCCTCTCTAGATCCACGAGCCATAGCGTTAACGGCAGATAAATGCTATTTTTAATGTAATCAGTCTGATAGCAAAATTAGGCTGATACCCATAAGACGATTTAAGATTTATTTTACGATTACGATTTAAAAATAGCTATTAACTTCTTTTTTTGGTCGGTTCAGCAGAAGGAATCATTAGCATTGGGATAATAATTCTGATTTCAACTGTATCTGTGTGTACATATATGATAAAATGCTAACTAACTTAGACTTGTCATGGCATCTATAAATTGGTGTTCTGTGACGATTTGAAGTGTTTTTTTTATAAATCCCATTTGATAAATGCTCCTGCTTAATGAATAAATGTAACCAGCTGATTACTGAGTGAGTACTGAATGAGTGTTTTCCTACTTTTTCCTGTCTCCAGCTGTTGATAGCGTTCTCCTGCTGTCTGTGGTGTGTTTTCTCCATCAACTCCAGCTGTTCGTTCTGTCTGTGCATCTCGTCCTCTGCTTTCAGCTTGCTCTGCTCTTCTCTTTCCCGGTCTGCTGACAGCAGCCGAATGCGGTCCTCCAGCTCCAATATCTTGCTCTTTAGAGAAACACAAAACATCTTTTAGACTGACCCATTACAACCACTGAAAACCACATCCAGAGGAGCAATTCCATGCAAATGTTACCAATTTCACCAAAAAAGCGAAACACTTTCTAGGTTTTTTTTGTGTAGGCTTGTATTTTACAATACTCTACAAACCCTCAAAAATGCCTCTGTCAATGTTTTCAAAACAATTCTATTTGATTTACCAAAGTCACACAAGTGCCAATTTCACATCCATAACGGAAAGATTTCACATCCATAACCAAGCTTTTCCCACATAAATGCAAAAATGTTAAATAAAATAAAACCCATCATTTTTGTTCTATAGTGAGCCGACTCTTATCCTTTTTATTAGCATTGTTTCTTTTGGGTTGTGCAGTTTATTTAAAGAATGTCTACAAAGTATGTTGTATACTGGACCTAGGCATTTTACGGCTTCTTTGATCGAATCAAAGTATTTATTAACATGGTTTCTGCTACATTTATTCTGATGTGGCGGGGCACCATATCAAAATTCATCCAACCACGGCTAAATTAAAGCTTCTCATTCAAAACATTCAGCTGTGTTTTTAATAGCAGGTTATAATCGCACCAAAACGTATTTAAAGGTAAGTGAATTATAACAGTGTAAACCTCTCTCTAATCGTAGTAGCGCTGTGCATTATTTGTTTAACCCTTTAAGGTGACGTACTGACAGACAGGTGCGTGATGCGTGAGGCCGGCAAACACGATCAAAATAATATATTGCTTAAAGGGGCTAATAATATTGATCTTAAAATAGGTTTCAAAATATTTTAAACTGTTTTTATTCTAGGCAAAATAAAACAAATAAACCTTTCTCCAGAAGAAAAATGTTACAGAAAATACTGCGAAAAAAATCCTTGCTCGGTTAAACAACATTTGGGAAATATTTATGAAAAAAAAAATCATAAATTCACAAGAGGGCTGATAATTTTGACTTCAACTGATAATCGTTTTGAATAATAGTGATTACAATTATGACCAAAATAATCATGAGGTGCTGTAGTGGTGTCCCATTTCTTAAAGGTACATATCGAAGCCCTTCCCCTTTACACTATGTTTCAAGGGCCAAGGGGAAAGGAGAAGGGGTCCAAAAATGGAATTGGGCTATAAACTAATTACCTCAATAAGACCAATTACCTCAGATTATTAGTTAACAAATCCAGATACTGATCCTCTCTCAGTAATGATCATTACATCTCATATTCACCTCACAATCAACCTGACTTCAGTGCACTTGTTCAACCTAAAACAGACTAGAATTCTCTAAATGAACATAAAAAAATTAATGAATGAATAAAAATTAACTAAGGTGAAGTAATTAAACGAAAAACCCCGTGGCATTTAAATGAAGTTGATATTGTGATGCTGGGGATTTACCGTTTGTGTAAAATTGATTTATTTTTTTTAACTTTATAGAGCTTTTATGAATGTTTATTAAATAGTTTCACAGGATAGTTTTTTTTTTTTAATAAATGAACTGTATTGTTCATATGCCCTCTTAAACTGCCCCAAAGTCTAATGTGGCCCTTTGGAAAAATTAATTGCCCAGCCATGTTATATACTGTAAACTTATACTTTTTTGGAACGCAAGTTTAGTTTCCTCATTTAGAAAAAAATTATGTTTACAGATTGGAGTTTGCATGTTCTCCCCGTGTTGGCATGGGTTCCCCCCGGGTGCTCCGGTTTTCCCCACATGTCCAAAAACAGGGCTCGAAATTGCGACCATTTTGGTCGCATATGCGCCCGAAATTTTATTTATGCGACCTCAAAATATATTTGGGAGCGCTTGTGCGAGTGCTTAAAATTGTTGTGTGCGTCCAGTTTTTACTGCAAAATGTTCACCACATGCACGGATTCGGGAGACATTCACGCAGAATGCATCTCTAAGCTCTTTGTCCGCACTTGAATGGCGAAACGCAGTGCTCAGGAATGGTTTAAAACAGTTGTCATGTCAACTTGCTGCAGTAAACAAAGCCTACTCCGTAATGATTGCCCCGCCTTCTCGCTCTTTTTATTGTCCCACCACTGCTCTAGCACTAAACGCGAATGATTGGTTAATATCAGCTGTCAATCACTTAGCCAGTGCCTTCTGGCTTGGGATGACAGACAGAGCTACTACCGCGAAAAATTGTAAAGCGCTGAAGATGAGAATGAAGATAACACTGACAGATTTTGTTTGAGAAACCATCTAAAGTTACAAATAATGACACAACTTTCAGCACATGGTCACTAGTAAGATAATCCACCACCTACACTTTTCGAAAAGTGGATAAAAGACTTCCGTTGGCTTCAAGTCCGCTATGAAAAGTCTGTGGGATGGAGTTTTCAGGTAACTGTTTGCCACATCTAGCACGAGACCTTCTGTTTATTCCTTCAAGGAGCAGCTATATGTAAAATTTAACACCACGTACACCATCACAAACGGGCTAACACTGAGTAAACTAATATCGCTACTCATGAAGACCGGTATGGCTATTAACATGACGTAAAGTTATGCATATAATAGGGTACAGTACATGTCAAAAGCATCAGTGTATTATCAGACAGCACTTGTGAGATCAGCACAGTTATATCGTTAATAGATTCATTCAAGCAGTGCATGCAGGGCCAGTGAACGCTCCATGTATGTTTAGTCACTTAGTTATGTTATAAAAATATATTTTCTTGTGATAATGGGATTAGGTTGAGACATATTTTCCTCACGCTTGCATATATATATATATATATATATATATATATATATATATATATATATATATATATATATATATATATATATATATATATATTTTTTTTTGCTTGTTAGTTTGATTAGTGTTGATTTCAAATGCAATAAATTTGTTTGTATAAAACTTGTAGTAACGGTGCTCATGATTGGTGGGTGGGAAAAACTTTTGGCTGATGCGCCTAAATTTTTTAAGTTAGGAGCACCGGTGCTACCAAGCAAAAAGGTTCATATCGATGGTTCATATCGCACATTGTATGTGCGCGAATGAGTGTGTATGGATGCTTCCCAGTGATGGGTTGTGGCTGGAAGGGCATCTGCGACACAAAACATATGCTGGATAAGCTGGTGGTTCATTACGCTGGAATAATAAAGGGACTAAGCCGAAAATAAAATGAGTGAATGAATAAATGTTTACAGATTTATATTTTTTCTGATCCCATAACTCTGTGGTTAGATGTTTGAATATAATGTTAACATCATGTACTATCTCTGTTCTGAGTTTTTACTGCTACATCCATAACACTGGAATTGTTCAGTGTCAGACCTGGAGCTCTACGTTTCTGGAGTTGGAGACCCAGTAGTTGAAGGCGAGCAGGAGGATGCAGGAGATGAGCGCCGCCATCAGCAGAGATGGAGAGCGTCCGCCACGTCGCCCGTTCCCCAGAGCACCCATCATGCTTGATCACAAACACCTTACAAAAGGGCTTTCTGAAAGGGAAAAGAGTACACTTCATATGGCAGACTACATTACATGTATTGTTTTTGAAAATCTATCGTTATCGCGAAGAAAGTACATGCAATATCCACATTGTAGAGAAGTACAATAAATTAAATTAGGTACATGTGGCAAGCTTTCGTGTGCTTCATTTATTGACCTTATTCTCAATGTGGAAGTGCGCTCGTTTTTTGATACTTCAGATTCAATCGTGTACAGGAGAAATGACTAGGAATAATAAATGGAAGAAAACAGTCAAACTATTTGCTTTACAAACAAGTGTGTTCATGACTATATAGAAAAAGTAGAATGATCTAATAAGAACATATTCGTTTTCAACATAAAGCAGCTTAACATGCTGTTCCTAATGTCTAAAAAATAAATGGAAGTGATTGAAACTGTAAGTCTTGACCCAAACAGATTCTAATGGTTACGCGCGATCTTACATGAAGAAGAATAAGGTAAATTGTTTATCCAAATTAGACCAATTAGATGGAGCCTTTACTATCTTTATCCTGACCTCTCAAGTAGGTGTTTCACTAATGAAATACCTACTAGAGAACTAATGAAAACACTAATGTTGGGAGCAAGAGGGAAAAATGACAACAGCCAATTAAAGCAGCAAGCAGTGATGAAAGGGACCTCCATCAAATGTGCATAGGTGGTGCTGTCGAGTCATTTTGCCACACCCACTTCCAAAATCAAACGTAAATTTTCAGCCACTTCTGGTGTGTGAAAGTTTTGCGAGTATTAGAGCATGTTTAGACCCTCAAAAATGCAAGGAGAAAAAACAAGAATAAAAAAAACAGAGAAATTCTAATAGGGCCCACGCCCCAACAGTGCTCGATCCCTAATTATAATAATAATAATAGTACACAAAGCAATTTTAATAGGGCCTACGCCCCATCGTGCTCGATCCCTAATAATATAATATCCTTAATATATATTATATATAATACTAAACGAAGCAATCCAAATAGGGCCTACAAACCATCGGTGCTCGATCCATAATAATAAAAATAATAATAAACGGAGCAATAAGCCGCACCATGTTGGTGTTTCTTAAACATCTAATTATTACAAGGTAGGTCATTAGCCCAATGCTCAATCGCCAACCTGGAGGACCAGGACATACACACACACACTACGGCCAATTTAGTTTATTCTATTCACCTATGGTGCATGTGCATGTTCATGTCTTTGGACTGTGGGGGAAAACGGAGCACCTGGAGGAAAACCCACGCCAACACGGGGAGAACATGCAAACTCCACATAGAAACTGGCACAGCCAAGACTCAAACTAGTGACCTTCTTGCTCTAAGATTTCTATCCATTTAAACCTGGTCTATCCAGTAAAAAAACGTAAAGGAATTGTTGACAATAATCTGTCATCAATAACTTTCTTCCACCACTTGTTTCAAACCTGTTTGAGTTCATTTTTTCTGTTGAACACAAAAGAAGATTTATTTAACAAAAGCTGGAACCGCTGACGTTCATAGTTTTTGCTTTTCCTGGTCAATGGTTAGAGGCTTTCAGCTTTCAAATACCTTCTTTTTTCAGCTTTCGTCAAAATATCTTTTCTGTGTTTAACAGAAAAAAAGAAGCTCATAAAGGTTTAGAACTGCTTGAGGTTGAGTAAACTATCATTATTGGTAAACTAACCCTTTTAATTCTGCAAAACCAAAGTCATTTCTTCTCAGAATATAAACACAGGAAGTTGTGATGTTGCCAAAGGCGACCACCACTGTTTGGAAATGGTTTAAAAAATGTGCTAGCAGTTTGGGACTAGCAGCAGTGTTGAGTAAGTTACTCAAAACGTAACAGATTAATAATTACTACTTTAAAAATAGTAATCCCATTGGATTAATGCATGTAAAAGTAATCAGATTACTAATTACTTTACTTTCAAGTTACTTTGAAAACCTAAAAAAAAGCACTAAATTGTAGTTTTACTTTCACTTATTTAATATTTGTACAATAACAGCACTGTCACAATATTTTCCTTAACAGATTCATACCTTTTTAAAATATTTACTATTTTTGCAACATCAATAACAACCAATTATAGCCTAGTTTCCATTCATTTATGAGGTGAGAATGAATCATGAACACTGCATGCGTACCCCGAATATGAGCTAACAATTTTACAAAATGCATTAAGATTTATAAACTGAACAAAAACATGTTAGAGTTAAAACTATTTTGAAAAAATTACAAAAAAATGTTTTATTAAATTATTACAGTTATTTTTTCTGAGCTATAAACAACAATTGGTTTGTCCATATTTAGGTTATTAAGATTATAAAGTTAAATTATAATTAATTTTAGTTATAATGGATAAATTGTACCTTATTAGCCAATCTTTTAATCTCTGAAAAGCGCTGTCTAAACTATTTTTATACTTTTGTATTGAAAAAGTATAAAATGTATATAATATGTAATTTGTAACCTGAAACGTCATTTATTTAACAAAATTGCTTGTGGACAAAGTTGTGAAGATATTATTGTCTTATATTATACTAAAATACCCTTTTTTGGTTAGCAGTGTTAGATTTGTGGCTGCATTTGAAGTTTTTTTTTTTCAGTGTGGAAGAGAAAATAATATAACTTTTAAATGTATGTCTGACAGTAAACAAACTTTAATTCACTGAATGTATTTGTTCATGTTTCATTAAGGGATAAGTTTAAAACAGAATAAAATAATTAGATCAATTCATGCAAGACTTGTAGCTGTATAAACAAACACACACCCAAGTTTCAGATTAGTACTTGGTATCGGACGATACTCTTAGGCCAGGTATTGGTATCAGGACTAGAAAAAGGATGTCAGAACTAACAGCAACACTCAAATTTCAGTCTGTCTGAAAACAAAAGCATTTTGTTTAACATAAAAAATAATAATGGTAGTTTCTATCCATTTAAAACAAAAATGCTGATTTTGTCAACCCTTGTGTATTGTTTAAATTTACTACACTTTCATTGTGTTAGAAGCTGGTTTAGCCACCAACAAGTTCAACAGTAAAAATTAGAAATTTGACCTCAACCCAACAAGGAAAACCAGCAAAAATATAAAAAACATACTTATGGTGTCGCAGCTTTGCAATGAAATTATGTCTTTATAATGGAAGTCAATGGGGCAAAAACAGCCACCAACATAACGAAAGAGTAATCAATTTTCCCAGAGTGTATTGTTGAATTTTCAAAGCATTTTCAAAAAAAATATGTGTCCAAATAAGATGTCACCAAAAACCATTCCATTTGCTGAAACGCAAAGAAAATTGTTGCCAAATTAAGCCTCAAAATCACCTTAGACTGGATGAAAATATCCCCAACAGCACACAAGTGTTAAACCTATTAAAGTCTACAGTGTCATATTATGAACCACATTTGGAAAAACCTGTTTTACCATTCCTGTTATCAATTACATAAATACTTTTTTTTATTTTTAGAAAGTAAAAGGCCTAATGTGTTGTAAAATATTTACTGGCAACTATAAAGTAAACTTAAGGTTTTATTTTTTTTTACATTAGTAATATTGAAAATGATGATCAGACTGAAGCATATTTATATTATTCATATATAAAAAGTTAACCTGCTTACATGCTGTTACAACTATTTTATTTCACATATTGACTTCATCTTTATTTCTATAAAGCTTTTACAGTGTAGATGGTATCAAAGCAGCTTAACATAGAAGTGCTAGTCAACTGAAACCGTCAGTCCAGTTTTCAGAGTTGAAGTTCAGTGTATCAGTGTTGCAGGATTTTACTATTTGACAATAAGAAATTCATAATAAAACAATCACTTATACTTAAAAATGTGTTTGTTCATGGGTTAGACAGTAAAATCCTACAGTTCGACTTACCAACTTAACACCAACTGTACTCCTATATTTACATCATCACTGAGCAAATAGTAAAATCACACTCGCTCACGGCGATCAGTACAGGATGTAACACAGGATCAAAAGCAGATCTCATAGGAGTGGTTTAGTAACAGTGTCTGTGCTATTAATAATCATCGCCAGAGAATTTTACACAAGGCAACAAGTTCCTACTGTACCTGCTAACGTTACTGTGCTCTTGACGACAAAACAACAAACATTTTGCTTTCCGAATTATAAAGCAAATTAGTAGATATAATCTTTGTAAAAGCAACCTAAACGTGTTCTAATATGAAATGTAAACTTTTAAAATGTAACGTTAAATCTATACATTTAGAATGAAATTTGTTGTAACGTTAGCATACTTGCTAATACAGCTACTTGAATTAATACAGTCACACTTTTCCCTTCGTTTCAGTTAAATATTATATATTAGTCTCAAATTAACCTTACCTGCGTTCACTGTGAAAGCTGTCGTCAGGAGAAGGGATGAAACATGGACATCTCGACACTTTTTCCGGGATGAAAACGCAACAAACAGCAGCGTTTGTCTAGAACGGCAAGGCGCATGCGCACTTCATACTTGTTTTCAGGAAACAGTCGCTTCACCGCCTGAGGTACTAGGGGAGTCGAGTGGGTTTTGTTTCCATTTCCTTTCGTCTAAAATTTCAATAATAAATGTTTAAATATGCAAACTAGTGAAAATATTGAATGCAGTTTTTTCATTGTATTCACAGCAGTTCTGAATACACGTACAAAAATAGTGTATCCCACGTAAATAAACATGATATTAAAATAAACAGCTTTTTTGCCGAAAGTGCTAAAAAGAAATAATTATTAGCCCTCCTTTTAAATTATATGTAAATATTCATTCTTTCTTTTCGGCTTAGTCCCTTCTAATCATGGGTCACCACAAGCGGAATGAACCGCCAATTATATTTCACGCAGCAGATGCCCTTCCAGCTGCAACTCTTTACTGGGAAACACCAATACACTCCCATTCACTACGACAAGTTAGCATACCCAATTCATCTGTACCGCATGTCTTTGGGCTGTGGGGAAAACTGCAGCACCCAGAGAAAACCCACGCCAACACATGGAGAACATGCAAACTCCACACAGAAATGCCAAATGACCCAGCCAAGACTCGAACCAGCAACCTTCTTGCTATAAGTATATATAAAATACAAATGTTAATATACGTACAAAGAAACCTTATTAGAGGAAAGCAGGACGAAAGTAAAATTTTTCATAAAAAAACTAATTTTAAAAGATGTTTTTAGCAGATTTGCTGTTGTTTCTAACTCACAACAGCGGTTTATCAACATCAGGTGTTATTTCATATCAACGTAGAACAGCTCCAATAAAACTTCACTTTCAACTAAAGTTGCACATTGTTGCTTTTGATCCCATCAGTCTGGACAAAAGTAACACATTTGCTAGATTTACAGGCTTAATCTTGTTTATTTGAAATATATCTGACCATGTCTTTGTTAATGTTAACTGCAAACATATTTTGTACTTTATTTTTGCAAAAATAAATATTAAACAGCATTTTTATTTAAAATTTCAGTTCCATCAAATGTTTCAAAAGCAATCCTGCAATGCAAAATCTTAAAACTTTATACAATTATTAATTATTTATTATCTTTGGCAATTTTTATTATTATTGGCAAATTCTCTGGTCTGATGAGACTAAAATTTAACTCTTTGGAGTGAATGTCAGGCGTTACGTTTGGAGAAAACCAGGTACTGCTCATCACCAGGCTAACACCATCCCTACAGTGAAGCATGGTGGTGGCAGCATCATGCTGTGGGGATGTTCTTCAGCAGCAGGAACTGGAAGACTAGTCAGGATAGAGGGAAAGATGAATGCAGCAATGTACAGAGACATCCTGAATGAAAACCTGCTTCAGAGTGCTCTTGACCTCAAACTGGGGCGACGGTTCATCTTCCAGCAGGACAATGACCCAAAGCACACCACCAAAATATCAATGGATTGGCTCCACAACAACTCTGTGAATGTCCTTGAGTGGCCCAGCTAGAGCCCAGACCTAAATCCTATTGAACATCTCTGGAGAGATCTGAAAATGGCTGTACACCGTCGCTTCCCATCCAACCTGATAGAGCTTAAGCAGTACTGCAAAGAGGAATGGGTGAAAATTCCCAAAGACAGGTGTGCCGAGCTTGCACTGTAAATAACAGTGCTACTTTGGTCCCCACAGGAACTCTTGCCATTTAAACCGGATTTACTTTTAAACTGAAAAACTCAAAGATGTGTTATTGCACTAAATAACCTTTAGATTGATCATGAGTGTGATACATGAAAAGAGAAACTTAACTTGTCATAAGGAATAAAGAACCGCTACAATAATTTAATTTTTGCTCTTAAAAACAGAAATTTGGAGCTAACCACAAGACACAGTCCCGAAATCAGCTGATATTTGGCAGCTCCATCAAGGGTTGCATGCTGAATGTGCTGTTATAGCCTGGAAATCAAATGTTGTCAGGGCTTTGAGAAAATCACTTTTGTCCTACGATACTTTTCATCCCCGCTCTCCCCTACATTTGCTATATACAATTTTCATTTAATTATCATAAATGTATTACAATCGTTAACTTTTGTGCATGTGTTTTTCAAAGCTATGTAAAAGCTATTTAATGTTTACGCAGTTATTAACAATTTAACAAGCCCATAGACAAGTACATGTATGCGTTTTCACAATATTAAACCATGTTTTTGGCAACAAATATTGACCATACAACTACATTAATTTCTCAAATAGATAAAGATTTAAAAGTGACAACAGTTCATGTTAAACCTTTTCCTCTGCCAGAGATTTTGTATGTATGTGAGTTTGCTTGCTACTTGAGTGAAAATATGACAATAATGTAATTTGTAAACATTTAAAATATTAATGATAATAATAATAATAATAATAATAATAATAATGTGGAGAAAATTGCAAAAACAGCTTTTAATCAAATAAACTAGTTGATCTTAGTAAAGGCCAACATAGAAAACAACAATGTGTGTATATGGACTTTTGACTTAAAACCTTGTGACACCTAGTAAACCAGTTAAACAGACATTTTTCTGATACGCACGTATAGACAACACACACACACACACACACACACACACACACACACACACACACACACACACACACACCTCATATTATTAACTTAAACATGATTCACTAAAGAGACTTTTAATTTTGAGCTTTTTGCCATATTTTATTAAAACATGTAAAGGTTAGCTTATTACATTATAGATCAGACACTGTATGAAGTTGTAAGTCAAAGGCAAAGGCAAAGGTCTGCTCACTTCCTGCTCAAAAACGCTTCTTTTCATTTTCCTCCTTAAAAACAAAGAAACAGCAACATTAGCATTACAGCTTAAAATGCAGAGAATGTAAAATCTCATAAAAGCATTGTAACATAGTTAGGCACATAGTAAAAAAATAAATAACAGTTTAAATTTACAGTAAAATTTCAGCATAGACATCTGGCAGGAAATCATACAAATATGGCGAGTATTTTTTTATATTAAAGGCAAGTTGGTGCATAAATAACTCACACATATAAATATGTTTTTTTTAACATTTTTAATTGCCTACATCTGCTTTTAAACTAAAAACGTACTGATATCCTCTATAATAATACAGGTGGTTTCGACATTATGAAAGTCACAAGGCGAATTTAAGTTAATCATAAGCTGCATGACCATAAATAGAGCTAGTACTCGTATATAGACAATACACAGAAACAAACACACTGTGAGTTTTCATGTTTTATGGGGACTTTTTATGCATATAATTATTTTTGTACTGCTCAAACTTAAACTGTAAACCTAACTTCTATCCATTTAGGGATATTTCATTTGCACAACATAGGGTTAACCAACATAACTGTCATTTAAATTTTAATTTAAAGGGATTGTTCACACAAAAAGGACAAATCTGACATTATCTGTGATTTTTTTTCTTCTGTTGAATGCAAAAAAAAGACATTCAAGAATGTTGGAAACCTGTAACCATTGACTTCCATTGTATAATTTTCCCTACCGTGGATGTCAGTGGTTACAGGTTTCCAGCATTCTTTGAAATATCTTCTTTTGTATTCAACAAAATAAACTTATAAAGGTTTGGAACCACCTGAGGATGAGCAAATAATGAGGGCATTTGATTATTTAGGTGAATTATACCTAGGGATGCACAATTAAATTAATGCAACTGACTATTTTTGTTTACTTTATTTACCAAATCATAAAAATGGTATTCAGATTTGATCCGAGAGCCACAAAATATTTTGTCAGTAGTGAATTATATTTAATTCTGATTATGAATATATCCACATTTTAAAACAGAGAGTGAAATATCAAAACTGTAAATTAATTAATTAATCAATAATAAAAATATATAGCTAGTGTTTTAGTAAACCTCTTGAGATGAGATTCCCCAGATGGCTTCATATTGGAATTTCTTTGAACCACAATTGAAGGGATAGATTACCCAATAATGAAAATTTACTCTCTATTTATTTATGCTTCCACAATTGGCTCTGATTGACTTCCATACTAGGAAAAACAAATACTATAGTCAAAATATATTCTTTAGTGTTCAACAACAACAACAAAAGTCAAACAGGTTTGAAACAAGTAAAGGCTGAGTTTTTAATGACAGAATTTTAATTTTTTTGGTGAACTATCCCTTTAAACGATTAGTTGCCGGCAGCTAGCTCTCTGCAACTCTCACATGGTCGCCCACTGAAGCTAAGCAGGGCTGCGTGCGCTCAGTACCTGGATGGGAGACCATATGGGAAAGCTAGGTTGCTGCCGTAAGTGAGTTAGTGAGGCCAGCAGGGGGCGCCCAACCTGCGCTCTGTGTGGGTCCTAATGCCCCAGTATAGTGACGGGGACTCTATACTGCTCAGTGAGCGCCGTCTTTCGGATGAGACGTTAAACCGAGGTCCCGACTCTCTGTGGTCGTTAAAAATCCTAGGATGTCCTTCGAAAAAGAGTAGGCGGTTAACCCAGGCATCCTGGCCAAATCTGCCCACTGGCCTCTGTCCATCATGGCCTCCTAACCCTCCCAATATCATGATTGGCATATAATCACTCTGTCTCCTCTCCACCAATCAGCTGGTGTGTGGTGTGAGGTCTGGCGCAAAATGGCTGCCGTCGCGTCATCCAGGTGGATGCTGCACACTGGTGGTGGATGAGGAGATTCCCCCCCATTGTGTTAAGCGCTTTGAGTGCCCAGAAAAGCGCTATATAAATGTAACGAATTATTATTATTATTATTATTAGTTCACCCAAATATAAAAATTACTTTAATTCATATTCCTGTCATTCTAATTCAAAATGATTTCTTAAAGGCACAGTATGTAATTTTCTCCACTAGAGGGCGTGTATTCACAACAAACAAAGGCATAGTTTGATGACAGCGTGACAGTGTGGAATCATGGGAGTTGTAGTCTTCATTACACTCACAGAACTCAGCAGAAATCATATTAATGGATGAGCTAAAGTATTCAACACTTATTATCATGGTAGTATGAAGCTGAGTAAAGGCTGATTTATACTTTTGCGTCAAGCGCACCTGTATGGTCCAGCTCTGTGATTGGTCGGCTTGTTAGCTGTGACGAGCGTGGGCGGTGCTGAGAGCCACGAGCCTGATGGAGCGATTGTTTACAAGTGTCGAGACCCATGAAGGAGATCTAGAAGGAAACTTTTGTATTGTGTTTACTTTATGACTAAAGTTGTTGCACGTCCGCCAGTTCCCGCCTCTGAATCAGTGAGTTTTAGCTACTTATACATTAAGGTAGCGTTCGGAAAGAACAAAACCCCCATGAAGAAACTCGACACAGAGGAACATAAACACTGCCAGCTAGTGTTTCAGAAGTGGTACTGCAGAGCAACACAAACAGCGCGCAGGAGAATAAATGCATGACTACGAGCAAGGCATGCGCCATGGGTCACAACATTCACTCGATGCAAAAGTATAAATCAGCCTTTCTGTAAAAGCAGACTGGATATTAAGGGTGTGTGATGTCATTAGCATAAACACACAGCACATCCTCCATCTTACTAGTTAAAATTGCTTATTTCTCAGAATTTGAACATTCGTTGAAACATTTGGGATAACAAAAGCATATAACTCAGCAAAATATATAACACTGTTCTAGCGCTTTTGTGTATTTTAATGAAAAAAATCATCCATACTGCACCTTTAAATCCTTAAGTAAGCATTCAGGTTCCCCAAACAAACATTAGGCCTCATCCTGCAGTAAACCACTTGCGTAATCCAGGAACGGGCCTAATCCATGCCCAGAAAAGCCACCAGAAAGGTCTCAGGCAGCTCTGTGTTTTTACCTTCACAATTGTCCCCAGCTCAGCCAACACTTGCTCGTAGCGGCTCTCCATGCTTTTTAGGGCTTCTGGATGCACGTGCTGCTTCTGTATGCCAGGACTGCCAGCGTCTGACACCATCTTTAAAAACCTCTTCTCCTGAAAGATCAACAGACATTTAATCAAATTCTGAGTGTGCAACAGGTGAGTGGGGTTGACAAACCACCTGTAGAAAACTCACTCTTTCATCTCTACATGGACCAGACACTTTTTACAAGCACTACATGTCTCTAGATAAGCACTGTGCATTTCTGAGTGTGCCTCACACACGTAACTGAGCTTGAAACACCACCTGTAGAAACTCTTCTCTCGATATGCACCTGACACTTTTCTTAAACTCCATTTTACAAGGACTCAGTAAGGCAAATGATACTTACATGTTAATGAACCAAAAATTAAGTTGCACTAATTACTTTTTCAACCTATTTTGCACTAAATATTGCACAATATTGTTTCGGTTTAGGATAGTCTATTTTAGGTGTAAAGTTAACTATTTATAGTGTTTGCATAGTAAGTTTACCACTCCAGCACGTTAGTACAGTAGCATAGTAGAATAAAAAGAGATCAGTATATGGAAATGGGCATACCATGAGCCTCAGACACCATTGTTTACTCTTTATGTAAATTCCACGAGTGTAATGTCCTGGTGGACAATGGGAGGACAAAACAAACTGTCACAAGACTCAGGGGCCATGCCCTCTGCATTTGCATTTATGCCTACTTTAGGTCATTCATCCGGACCTGACGTCATCAAGAGAACACAGACTCATATGTGTCTCTAAGATCATTAATATGCACGCCTCATGCTGCTTTTGATAAGCAACAATATTTTCTAGTAAGAAAACAAAGATAGTTTCCCTCCATTAGTTATTTTAAAGCTTATATTTAACTTGCTAAGTATGTGGGACTTTTATTTTGAAAATGCAACCGCATTACAGAGCAATGACTGACCAAACCTGTTTCAAACCTCCCTTAGGACACAAAATGCAAGATTTACAGGTTTTACATTTATTCAGCTCCACTCTTAAGAGGCATAGGGTATGTTTACTGTATTATTTCTTTATTTATTGTTTATTGTGAAAACACAAGTAACGTTAGACTGCCGAATCGTGTCGAATCACACAGCTCAACTGTCATCTGTTCATGCAGATATTATGAATACCTGGTTGTGTTTTTTTTTACATTATTGCATAAAAATACAACGCAATCCATCTCTATCTGTCTCTATTGTCAAGTTTAATTATGATTTAGCCTTTATCCACATCTCGTGAGCAAAACAGGTTAACTACGGAGGACAAAACAAAACGTGACGAGACTCACGGGCCCCTCAGCATTTGCATGAACGACTACTTTAGGTCAGTTATCCGGACCTGACGTCATCAAGAGAACACAGACTCATATGTAGCTCTGAGATCATTAATATGCACGCCTAAGGCTGCATTTGATAAGCTACAACGTTTTCTAGTGAGAAAACAACGATAGTTTTCCTTCATTAGTTTTTTATAGCTTATATTTAACTTGCAAGGTATGTGGGTCTCCACTTCAAAGTGGCATAAGGTAAGTTTTACTGTATTTATTCTTAATTTATCGTGTTTATTGTGAAATTTGATGCGTATGTCTCAACAAACACGTGTAACGTTAGACTGCTGAATTGCGTTAAATTACTCTGCTCAACTATCATCTGTTCATGCAGTTGATGTTAAGTCCTGGCTGTGTTTTCTTTGACATTATTGCATAAAAATACAACGCAATCCATCTCTATTTGTCCAGTTTAATTACGATTTAGCCTTTATCCACATTTCGTGAGCAAAATAAGTTGACGATACTCTGATTGGTTATATTTGTCCGTGTTCAGCATACATCATGCAGTGTGTGCAAGAGAGAGAGAGAGAGAGAGAGAGAGAGCTGCACATTAGCTCATTAATATTTACGACACAATCCATAAATGCATGTGGATTAACATCTATGCTAATGCTGGAACATAATTTTGTTGGAAAATGTAATCCATACCTATTCCCTACCCCTAAACTCAACCATTACTGTAAATTACTCCCGAAATCAAGGGGGAAACATATCCCTTAATTCTGATTGGCTGATTGGAATGTTGTTCCAGGATCAAGACAGATGTTAATCCAGGAACATGTCCTACTTGATGAAATTAGGTTTGCGATCCATATATGGTCAATTATGGACTTTCTGATTCTAGGGGTATTTTATGGAGTAATAAATGAACTCATAAAACCGTTTCTGGAGATTTTTTTGAACTTACAGAAGCCCTAAATCTACTATCTAGATATCAAAGAACAATTTAACTTATTAAACCAATGCACATACCCGTCAACCCTCCCGTTTTTCCCGGGATTCTCTCGTATTTTACTGTTCTATCCCGCTATCATCCAGTAAAGGTATTTTCCCGTATTTCTCCCATATTTTCAGTCTATCTCTGAACAGCCGAGCCTTCCTATACGCAACCGATACCGCCGAACCACCAGGGGTCGCCCTTGCTCTTAAACGTGAGTCTTCTGTGCTTTCGCTTTGCTTAGGAATGAAAACACTTATAAATAAATATTAAAAACGGCGCGATTCCAATTCCTTTTGATTACAGTTGCCGTCGCCCATCCTATACAATCCTCAAAATAGTCATATAATGGTGCATGACTGTCAGCTGACGTGCTCCATAGTGATAAACAGACGCTGTTTCCCAAACGGATTCTGTACACGCGATTTGAAGCGGAGAGAAAGTCTGGCTGTTGGGTGCGTGTTAAACAGACATATACACACATAATAAATAATAATAACACATAAAGATGTCGATCTTGGTATTTTTTTTTCCAAACACAACTAATTTCGTCTTAAATGAGCCTAAAAAGTTAGGAAAGCAGTCGAATGCTTTTCATTATACCGTTAGATGTGTGCAGTTTTGAAGTGACACCTGTTATTTAATGTAGTAAAAAAAATCTCAATAAATGATAGATTCGTTCATTGCTCTTTAATCAGAATGTGTAAGTTATACAGTGAAGAAAGGCTAATGAGACTGATAGGTTGATTTTATTTCATTATAACAGCTATTAATTTTAATAAGCGGAACTGTCTGCTAATGTTTTTGCTGCTAATGTATATTTTTATTTTGTTAATAATAATTTTAAAACATATTACTGACCATTTAACTGTTTATTTACAATGAAACAGCTCGAAATGAACATATTTAGTAATTTGGGCATTTTTTTAAGGGGAATGGGGTGGAGGGGTAGGGGGGGTCCCTTATTATGGTGGGCATATCCCTTATTTTCACATCCCAATGTTGACAGGTATGCCAATGCAGTATATGGCACCTTTAAAATCGCTTTTATGTCCAGTGTTCTGTTTACATTTCTGGTTGTTTATATATGTTGCCCTGTGAGTCACGACATTTCGTCCTCAGTTAAGTTGATTTTTATTGTTATTCCGCTACATCTAATTCATCAGACACTATCAGTCTGTAAAGTAGGCAGAATATGAATAGAGAGTTGTCTCAAAATGTAGTACATGCTAAATGATTAAAACTTTAAAATAATGACTAAAACTGACCTGCACTTTTAAAAGGAAGGTGAACGCCAAGCCAGCTTTGCCTGCTCTCGCTGTCCTGCCCACCCTGCAAACAAAAACAGCTGTAAAGATGCACTGAGGGATAGAAAAAGCCTAATATTCAGAAAAAGTCTGTTCTGGGGGTTTGTTTTGTGATGTGTTGACCTGCCTGTGGATGTATGTGCGGATGTACTGAGGAGCATCATAATTAATGACACATTTTACACCGTTGATATCAATCCCTCTGGCGGCAGCATCTGTGCTTATCAACCTGATGTGAGAAAAAAACAACTAATTAATAACAATATTAATATTAAAGCCTGTGGGAAATTAAAAATGTACAATGTTTATTTTGCTAGCGATCATTGTTATTATTTGATCATTGTCCAATTAATCTGTGCAAGTAAATCCACTGAAAAAATGGTTTGTTTTGGTAATCTTCAATCAAAGTCTGACCATTTGGTTCGGCGAACCACACCCCTCTTACCGTTAGTTTGCTATGAGGAAATGATGCGCAAAAAGATCGCCCCGCTTCCTACTCAATATTCGGTTTTACTTGTAAGTACATCAACATACTGAAATAAAAGTCTCAGCAACCTCTGGTTCACACGGACATTAATATACCCTAGGTCAGGGATGGGCAAACTCAGTCCTGGAGGGCCGGTGACCTGCACAGTTTAGCTCTAACACTAATCAGATAACCACAGATACAGGGACACTGGAGCATTTTAAAGCCGCGAAGATCAGCTGGTTTGTTTACAAGCTGACATACGAGCGATCTGCTGATGAATCGACTGAACTTCACGACTTTAAAATGCTCCAGTATCCCTGTATCTGAAGTTAACCTCAGTAAACAGTGGTCACGATCAGTGAACTGATGACCTTCACGGCCAATCACAGTCATTTCTGTTGAGCTTAAATGTTCAATGTTAAAATTTTTGTACCGATTGGTATCGAATTCCAGTATCATGACAACATTAATATACCCACACACAAACGTATATATGATTTACAAGTACTCTTGATAGGCGTGATTTAATTTATACTCTGAAAAATGCTTATTATATGGTCCTAACCCACCCCTACTCCTAGACCAAACCTTGACAGAAAACCTGTGGCAAATTTCGAATGTCAAAATACCCCATTAAGTATGGTATTAAAGTGCACCATAGGAATGTCCCTGTAAACCACTTTAATAGAGTACAACAAGGTCATACCGATGTCATTAGACAATTTAGTCCCTGTAAAATACATAAATCAGTACACACACACACACACACAGATGCTGAAGGTATACATACAGTGGGATCTTCCCTTTCTCAAAGTCCTTCAGTGTCTTCTGACGTTCGCCTGGACTCAGTTTAGAGGAAAACTCTGCCACCTCCACACCACCAAACAACTTAACCAGCAAATACAGTCTGAAACAGGGGGGAAAGGGTTTCTCTGTTTAGTCTCTTTGTCCATATTTATACATTTTAGTCAAATAATCACATAATAAAATAAAAAGTATTTACTTCTTGGGTGTAAATGTCATTGTCTTTACTATTTTGCACTCAACTCTGTAGTTTTGCTAGATAAGGATGACTTTTGCATCATAATATACATTTTTTGTAGCTTAGAAAAGTCTTCCACTTACTATCTTTCACTAAGATTATTGTAATTAATACTTGTATATACTAATAGAATGATATTAATACTTTATATTTAAGTTTAGATTTAATATTTAACAGAGCAGGGATCTTTCAAAACAATAATTTTTTTTAAATAAGCTTTTACTTTTTTAAAATGTTTTTTTAAGGTCAATATTATTAACCCCATTAAGAAATGAATGTTTTTGATTGGCTACAAAACAAACCACAATTGTCTAATGACTTGCCTAAATAACCTAACGTACTTGACTTAATTAAGCCTACAAATTGCACTTTAGGCTGAATACTAGTATCTTGCTAAATAACTAGTAAAATATTATGTACTGTCATCATGGCAAAGATAAAAATAGTGTTGAAAAAAATCTCTCAAATATTTGAAAAAACTAAAATTTTGCCTTCAGTTGTATAAAGTTGGGAAAAAAAACTAAAACAAGAATAGTTATCTATATATTATACTAAAGCAATTATTTTAGGTTAAATGTAATTTAAGATGTAAAAGTAAATTATGTAAACAAATTTCTAAATGTAAATACAAAAAAATAACTGTCTTTTCAAAATGAAACATGGTGTTCAGTATATTTTAATTAATTGCTGCAGTGTTTATTTTTTAATTTCATTGACAGCCTGCAGCTCTTTGTATAAACCAAGCAGCAACCCCAGTCTCTGCAATTCATCGACTGGCCACTGGGGGATGACTCCAAAACAGAGCAAATTTCCATGGACTCCAATGCTAAAATAAAACTTTACAGCAGAAAAAAAAGGTGATTGCAGCCTGGTACAAAAATATTTTAGTGTATATAGTTAATATTATCCTTTATGACAGGGTTGCTTAACCCTGTTCCTAGAGATCAACCTTCATAAAGAGTTCAGCTCAAACCCTGATCAAACACACCTGAATCAATTAATTAGGACCCGAACAGCACTCGATAATTACAGGCAGGTGTGTTTAATATGGGTTGCAACTGAAATCTGCAGGAAGGTCGATCTCCAGGAACAGGGTTGGTCACCCCTGCTTTATGACAACTGTGAGAGAGGTTAATTTGCATTTATATTAAACCTTAAAATTCTGCATAATTGTCAGTGGAAATAGCATAGTGTTTAAGTGTTCCGACATATAGAACCATGGTGCTCATGGCGACCCGAGTTTGATTTCCGGCTTGAGGTCCTTTGCCGACCCCTCCCCTCTCTCTGCTCTCAATACTATCCTGTCTGTTACCTCCACTGTCCTTTCCAATTAAAGGTGATAACCCTTTGGTCAATAATTATTATTAAAATAATTATTAAAAAATTCTGCATAATTAAGGGCGTGGCCACTTGAGTGACAGACATCTGCTGCTCATTGTCACATCATACATATGCTAAAATTGGCATATATATAGTTCTTTCAATTATAATTACCACATGGAGGTTGTCAGATTGACGACACAAACATGATCGAGCGTGTCTGATGATCAAGCCTTAAAATGTAAGCAGCTCAGCTAACGTTTATGTTTTATATTATTTATATTATTTGCTAATTAAAAACCACCTCAAGAGGATTTCTATTACTCTGAATTTGTGTTTCATTTCAGAGGCTGCTACTGTCCTGTAGAAGTCGCATTTTTGGTTGCATCCGCATATACTGAAGCAGCCCTCAAGACTGAAAGTAAATATATGTTTCCCTTCAAGGCTACAATATAATTGGGTAAACTGGCAGTGGGCTGGTTATAGAGACCAAAACGAGGACAGGCATTCCGACACGAACTACACATTTTCAAAGGACTTCAGCATTGTTTTTCAGATCAACAAACAAGTATGTTCACTTAGTGTTTTTTAAATATCTACAAACATATTAAGGTATTTTTATGTTTTAGAAGATTCAAGAACTTACATACAGCACCTTTAAAATCATTACCTGTGTGCTCCTTCTCTGGAGTTGGTGAAGCACAGAGCAGGACTGAACTTGAGCCGCAGCAGGAAGTGAAGGATGATGAGCGGCTTCTTGCTGAAGGTGCAGGGGACGTAATACTCCTGCAGAAGACATTTCCACATGTTAATCAGGATCTCTGCTAATAAAACCTGTAGCAGCGTCCATGATATGTTCAGGAAACTCACCGACAGGCCCTGAGGGAAGTGAAAAGTGTCCTGGCTTTGTGCTGGGTTGTCTGTAAGGGAGTGTGTGGAGCTGAAGAGTCGCGGCTGATGCAGATCCAGCAGCTGCAGCTTCTCCGGGTTTTGGGTGAGGGTTGCGGAAAACAGCAGCTTCTGCAGAGGAATCTGAGGCGGAGACAGACTGACATGCAGACAGACAATGCCGGTCAGAAATTTGGAATAATTCAGAAAGAGTCCGACGTGCACAGCTCTTATATGGATAGATGTGCTCAAAGCACGCAGTAGTGCATGTCAGGGTGTGTGTGTGTGATCGCGTGATGTGCGTTTTCAGCGGTGTAATGCAGACACAGGCTGCGTCCGAAACCACATACTTCCATACTATATAGGACGCTAAAATCAGTATGCAAGCCGAGTAGTATGTCCGAATTCATAGAATTGGAAAATCAGTATGCGAGAAGTACCCGGATGACTTACTACTTCCGGCAAGATTCTGAAGTGCGCATTGCATGCATGCTGCGCTATCCCATGATGCCCCGTGAGCGAATTCATGAATGTATCAATTGATTCAATTGAATCAATTGAATTCATGAATCAATTGTAAAGCGACGCAATTGACGCAGGTAGGTCACATGACAATGGCAAAATGGCAGATGTAGTACGCTCGAATTCCATTCATACTTTTCACATTGATACTGTATAGAACGTACTTTTCTAACGACCGAGTAGTACGTTTAAATTCAAATGCAGTACCTACTGAGTAGTAGGCAGTTTCGGACGCAGCCACAGAGTTGTTCAGAAACGCTGGGTGAAACGCTGGTGTGGACACGGATCATTTTCATTCTAAAACGCCGTTTTAATGCTAAAATGTATTCGTTTTAAGACCTAAGTTTGAGGTCTACCTTGATGCGATATCATGAATGTGATGTAATAATAATGACAATAATGGACCCAAAATTTAGGAATAGGAAAACAATATGTTAGGATAAGCACTTGAAGATCATATAACTTAATGCCACAATAAATAAACAGTAGTCATGACAAATGTCCACTACAAACAGAACCTTGCAATGGTTTCCCCGCCTCCGAGCTCCTCTGATTAGTCCACTGGACCAGACAGTGATGAACTGCGCTGCTTGTGAAAATTACAGACCTTTCAACTTGAAACGGTGCTTCAAAAGATGCGAGACATGAGTGTAACAGTCACCCATGTTCGTGAAGCTTTACTGTGTATTTTAACAAATAAATGAGTGTAAGAATCATTGATGAAACTAAAAGTTACAAAAATATTACTTAAAATTGACTCAAGTGTATTGTTAAGTTTAAAGGTCCCGTGACGTGCTTTGAAATGTGCATTTTTATACGATGTTTGACGTAATCTCAACCGAAACACGAAGAGAGGGTGAGACATTGTGTAGCTCCTCCCCTTTAAAAAAAAACAGCCAGTAGCGTTTTGTTTGATCACAGCTCTTGTTGAGCTCAAGTGCATCAAATGAAAAGCGTCTGAAGGGGGCATGGCATGTCAGATACTCAAGAGCGCTTGATTAGTCAGAAAATGTGATGAGAAACTGAAGTATGAGGTGACCTGAATGAAACAGTTGATCCATTTAAATAACGGTGAAAAACTTTAAGCTTTACATGTTTAGATGAGGAGATTCCCCCCTATTTGTAAAGCGCTTTGAGTGCACTGAAAATGTAAATATAAATGTAAGGAATTATTATTATTATTATTATTATTATATCAGTTCTATTTCTTATAAACATAATTTGGTCACTGTTTTGGTGCACACTGGCTTATAGATATCCTAATAACTAACAATACTGATACTAATATCTAAGGAAACTTTATTATAATTTGACATTGATTTCTTTATTGTTAAGGTGCGCGGACGTCTTCAAACCGAAAGTCGATGTGTTGGGTTATTTACAATCCTAGTTGTAAATAACAGATAAAGATGGCATCCTACCTTGCCGCTGTGATTGGTCCAGGCACTGTCCTCCTGAAGACAGACGTGTGTGTCTCTCCTGGGGTACTGTACACTGCTTTAGTCACCTGGCTGAGCCAGGACTGATGCATGCTGTCAATCATCCTGTCTGCCTCGTCAATAATCTACAACACACACACAGTATAAGCTCACACACTCTATACAGAAAACACAAGGATAGCATGAGAGAGAACACTTGCTTGACACTCTTCACAGTCTCTTTAAGGTTAATTTAATACTTAACTGATGACAAAATGATTAGCCCTCGTGTGAAACTTGAATTCTTTTTTAAATAAGTGATGTTTAACAAGCAAGACGATTTTTGCACAGCATTTCCTATTATATTTTTATTTATTTTAGTTTGATTAGAAAATAAATTAATTTAAATGTAAAAATTAAGATCAAAAAGCTAAGATCAACATTAGTAGCCCCTTAGGATTGTCTACCGCAGTGGTTCTCAAAGTGGGGGTCGGGACCCACGGAGGGGTTGCAGGGCAATAAGGGGGGGGGGGGGGGGGGGTCGCCTGGTGATTTCCAAAAATCTATTTATTTTTATTAAACCATAAGAATGACCATATTTCAAAAAGTTGTTTATAGTTACTATATACTAAATAGTCACTATAGTAGTTTATAGTTACTAGTACTAATGGATTGCAACCCCTGGGGTAACTACATTATATTAAAGACACAGCAAGAGCGTCAGATGCAGCAGATTGATTTTATAACACCAGGTTAAACTTTCTGGCCCATTTACAGCACTGACATACATTTTAAAAATTAAATGAAGAATAGACTTGTGTCTATTGGTGTGTGTGCGCCATTGCATGCAAGGTTTCTGTATTCATAACCACCTCAGAGGATATTGAGGGTCGCGAGTCACTGGCATTGTTATTTTGGGGGTCGCGGGCTGAAAAGTTTGGGAACCCCTGGTCTACAGAACAAACCACAGTTGTCCAATGGCTTAATTTAACTAACTTGCAGAATTAACCTAGTTAAACCTTTAAATCTGATTGTTTTTTGTTATTGAAATCCTGGAGGGAATGTAATGCTGTATATCTGTTCACTATACTAATGGCAAGTCTTTATAGATTGAGATTCCCACTGATGCTCACCAGGAAGCGTAGATGTTGTAGACTGAAGCTGCTGTTTTTGTTGATGTGATCCACCAGTCGACCCGGTGTGGCCACCACAATATCAGCCAAACTGTGGCTAACACCTCCCCTACACACACACACACACACACACACACACACACACACACACACACACACACAGTTTCAACTCTAGGACTTGATAGAAGCTGAACTTTTATCATCTTCCAGGTTTGTCAAGCACACTCACCTGATTTCCGAGAGCGCCGTTTGCTCTGCCGCGAACGATTTCTGGCCGGTGATCATGACCACCTTCAGACTGCTGCCCTCAGTGTATGCGCTGAACACCTTCGACACCTGTGTCATGGAAATCAAGCATGAACAATCAATATGTACGCATAAGAAGATTGTTAGTCGTGTAATGTTTATTGGTTAACAATCACTACCTGTTGTGCTAACTCTTTGGTAGGCAGGACGGCGAGTGCACGGACCTGACGCACCACACGCTTGGACAATGCCTGCATTAATAAACACATACACACACACACACACACAAACACAATATATTAATCTATACAACAAATAGTTTTTATCTGTTTACTAAAAAATGTTGGCCTTTTACCACTTTTTGTTTTTAATCTGTGTGATATAGAAAAAGAAATAAACAGGGGTTGGACAATAAAACTGGTTTTAACGTCTGGTTTTACGCCACAATAATTAATTAGTATGTCATAGGGCCCCTTTTTGTGGCCCATAGAGCATCAGTTGTTCTTGGGAATGACAGATACAAGTCCTGCACAGTGGAAAGAGGGGTTCTGAGCCATTCCTCCTGCAGAATAGTGGCCAGGTCGCTACGTGATGCTAGTGAAGGAAAACGTTCCCTGACTCGCTCCTCCAAAACACCCCAAAGTGGCTCAATAATGTTTGGCTCAGGGGACTTTGCAGGCCATGGGAGATGTTAAACTTCACTTTCATGTCCCTCAAACCACTCTGTCACCAGTCTTGCTGTGTGTATTGGTGCATTTTGCATTCAAATACACAGCACTGCCTTCAGGATACAATGTTTGACCCATTGGATGCACATGGTCCTCCAGAACAGTTCGGGTATCCCTTGGCTGTGACGCACCCATCTAGCACAATGCTGAAATTACCCAGGACACCATGGCTCCGAGATGCACACCAACAATTTGTCATGATTTATTTGCATGATTTACAGCACTTATTTGATCAAAATAAATATATAGTTTAACCCAATAAAGTATTATCACATGACGATCGATCTTTGCCATAAAAAGAGGAATAAATGACAAATTTAAGTAGATTCGGGTAGAATAAAATGTACTATATCATATAATAACCCATTTACTGTGAATTTTTGATTGAATAAAGCCTGCTCGGCGAAACTACTCAACAGCTCTCAACTCCAGTCAACTAGTCTGAAACCTCCTCATGCATTCCTGAGTGTGTCCTATAGAGGTAAGTGGGCTTAACAAACCACCTGTGGAAGGACACCCTCTCGTCTCTCTGACTCTTGCACCAGGTTGCACATATAGACACTTTCCTAATCACTCCATGTCTTTTGGAAAAACATTGTGTATTTCAAATTGTGGCTTATTCAGGCGAGTGGGCTTGACAAATCACCTGTAAAAACACTTTTCTCTTACGCACCTGAAACTTTATCTAATCTCCATCTTACAAGGACTCAATAATAAAAGCAATGTTTACTATATATGTACCAAACTTATTTTGCACTGCTTGCTTCAACCTAAATACTTCTTTTGCACAATATTAAACCTTAAACACCTCTTTTGCACAATAATCTGCACAACATTGATCACTCTCATGTAAAAGTACTTGTACAGCGTGTCTTATGTGTAAAGTTTAGGTATTTTATTTTACAGTGTATGTTAGTTATGCATAAGTTTTTTATAATATCTCTTAAGTCCTGTGTTGTGTTTGTATTTAGGATTAATCTATGTAGCACTGCTGTCCTGTGAGATACGACATTTCGTTCCTCTGTATGTCCACACTTGTAGGGGACTGACAGTAAAGCTCGACTTGACTTGACTTAAAAATATCCAGCTTTGGTGAACACAAAAAACATTTACAAATTTTATTTATTTTTAAATCTTTGACGAAATAAACTCCTATATTTGTAAACATTAAGATGAGTGTTAATAACTACATTACTTTGTCAGTGCATACAAGCTACCTGCTAGTTTACAGTTACAAAGACAATGGCTGCATCTGAAACCACATACTTCCATACTATACAGTGCACTAAAATCAGTATGTGAGCCGAGTAGTATGTCCGAATTCATAGAATTAGAAAATCAGTATCAGCAAGAAGTACCCGGATGACTTACTACTGCTAGCAAGATTCTGAAGTGCGCATTTCATGCACACTGTGCTATCCCATGATGCCCTGCAAGAGAATTCATGAATCGGACTGAAGCGACACAACTGACGCAGGTAGGTCACGTGACCATGATAAAATGGCGGGTGTAGTACATCCGAACTCCATTCATACTTTTCATATTCATACTGTATAGAACGTACTTTTCTAATGGCCGAGTAGTACGTTTAAATTCAAATGTAGTACCTACTGAGTAGTAGGCAGTTTTGGACGCAGCCAATATTTCAGACAACATAGGAAATATATTCAAATGCTATTGATTGCTTGCACCTGTACAACAGGAATGACAAAGGCCAGGGTCTTCCCGCTTCCTGTAGGTGCAGAAACACAGACGTCTCTGGGTCTGTAGCCCCCTGGACCCACCAGCAGCCCTGAACCAACGCTCTCCAGAATGGCAGGGATGACCTCAGCTTGAACTAAAAAATACAAACAAACAAAAAAAAAACATTAAAGGGATAGTTCAGCCAAAAATGAATATTTTGTCATCATTTACTCACTCTTTACTTGCTTCAAACCTTTAAGGTAACACTTTAGAATAACTATCTGTTATAAAAAGTTATTGAATCATTAATAAACATTTAGTGAATGGGATATAAATGACTTGTTAAATAATAGTTAATAGTTTGTTAATTATTTACAACTACCCTTTATTACTAGTTAACAGATGATTAATAAACTGTTAGTTAATGGAATATAAATGACGTTAAATAATAGTTTGTTCATTATTTATAACTACCCCTTATTACTAGTTAATAGATCATTTATAAACTGTTAGTTAATAAAATATAAATAACTTGTTAAATAATAGTTTGTTCATTATTCATAATTGTGCCTTACAGATAGATAGCCAATAGATAACTTACAAGCTGTAAGCTAACAACTTATAAATGGCTTGTTAACTGTATTTTAATTATTTAAAACTATACCTAATCAATTATTAATGGATGATGAACAAGCTGTTGGTAAATTACTTACTAAAGACCTGTTAAGTACCAGTTAATAGTCTATATATGTTATTGGGACGGTATTCTAAAGTTGCAACTATTATTTATTTATTGACTGTTAATGAGGAATATTGCAACTAGAATAACGTCCCTATAACATACATAAGCTAATGACTAACACTTAACTAATATATTATCTCTCACTTTACAGATCAGTTGCTCATAGTTTGTTTACTATTTACTTATACCAGTCAAACTTGTGGGATTAGGAAATTATGTTTACCAAATGTCACTATACAGATTTGTGTCCTGACATGTCACATAACATGTCACAGAAACACACACACACACACACACACACACACACACACACACACACACACACACACACACACACACACACACACACACACACACACACACACACACACATTTGTTTTTGTGAAAAGTGGGGACATTACATAGGTTTCCATTTATTTTATATGGTCCTAACTGTATATTATATTGCCCTCACCCCACCCCACCCCTAAACCCAACCATCACAGGAGACTGTGTGCAACTTTACTCTGATTAAACTCATTCTGTAGGATTTATAAGCATTTTGAGAAATAAGGACCTCACCAATGTCCTCATATTTTACCTCCTTTTTGTAATATCTGTATCATACCTATGTCATTAAACAGATTTGTGTCCTGATATGTCACAAAAAAACGTACACACACACACACACACACACACACACACACACACACACACACACACTTTAAAGCACGTCAAGGGCCATTTAAAGCATCCCCATGGCACACACTCACAGGAATGGGAACCCTCTTGAATGCCATGCTGTAGAATTATTAATTTATCATTGCCTTTACCTGGAAAGAAGCTCTGTATGCCATTAGTTTGTAATTTCCTCAGCAGTGTGGGACAGATGCCTGGCACCTCACTGATAGGAATGAGGTTACTCTTAATGTCTTTCTGGATGACATCAGGCTGGGACAACCACTGGGGCAACACTCTCTTGACCTGCAAATATTGAGCAAACAGCTCTTTAAATTCACAATGGAGCTTAATTCAAAGCTTGATATCAACATTTTTTTAAAATACTACCTTTTGCACATCCTTCTCTTTGAATCCACCCAGGACCTGATAGTTGCTCTGAAAGCTGCTGGTTAATTCCTCTGCTTTTTCAGCCTTAAATTGCACTGGGCTGCTGGGAGTTGGTCCTGTGATGTCTACAGACTTCTCATTTTCTGATTCATTCTCTTCTAAAAACAAAAATAAATCTGTATGAAAAATTTCACTTTACACAAACATAATAGGGCATAGAAAATGGAAATGATCTCATTTTATAAATCTCCTAGATTAAACAGTTCTGTTTTACCATTTTTAAATGCATTCAGCCAATCTCCAGGTCTGGCAGAAGCACTTTTAGCTTAGCTTAGCATAAACCACTGAATCGCATTAGACCATTAGCATTTCACTTTGAAAAACCACTTAAAAATGACCAAAGAGTTTCAATAATTTTAAATTTAAAAGTTGACTCTTTTGTAATAACATTATGTTCTAAAACTGAATGAGATAAAAATGTGTTACTTTCTAAGCTGGTATGTCTAGGAATTATACTCTCACTCTGGCGTAATTATCAAGGAATCTTAATAGAGGTGATTAATGATTTTACCCTACTAACAAATTTAAATTAGGAGGGTTAAAAAGAGTTGACCTGATTTTAAAACTCTTACTTTTTATAGTATAGTAATAAATGGTAAATTAACACATAATGAAGTGCCTTGGACACTCAAATCAGTCATACCAAGAGAGTTTTACTGAACAAAAATCTTTATTAACAAATCCTAGTCAAGCATCACTGCAGCCCTCCACCAGTCGGGGCTTTAAGACAGAGTGGCCGGATGGAAGGGAAAGCCTGCATGGAAATTGCTAAATAACATATGAAGGACTCCACAACAACCCTGTGACTGTTCTTAAATGGCCCAACCAGAGCCCTGACTTAAACCCAATTGAGAATCTCGGAAAACATGGCTGTCCACCATCCAACCTGACAGAACTGGAGAGGATCTGCAGGGAGGAATGGCAGAGGATCGCCAAATCTAGGTCTGAATACTTAGGACCATGTGATATTTCAGTTATTCTTTTTCAATTAATCTGCAAAAATGTCAACAACTCTGTTTTGCTGTCAATAAGGGGTGATGTGTGTACATTCATGAGGAAAACACACACACAATATTAATAATTTTTTTTGTTGATGTGCAAAAGTCATAAACATGTAATGCACTCATTCATTCATTTTCTATTTGAATTAGTCCCTTTATTAATCCGGGGTCGCCACAGCGGAATGAACCGCCAACTTATCCAGCAGATGTTTTACGCAGCGGATGCTCTTCCAGCTGCAACCCATCACTGTGAAACACCCCTTACACTCTCGTTCAAACAAATTCACTACAGACAATTTAGCTTACCCAATTCACTTATACTGCATGTTTTTGGACTGTGGGGGAAACCGGAGCACCCGGAGGAAACCTACACAAACATGGGAAGAACATGCAAACTCCACACAGAAATGCCAACTGACCCAGCTGAGGCTTGAACTAGCAACCTTCTTGCTGTGAGGCGACAGCGCAACCAACTGCACCACCACGCCGCCCACATGGAATTTATGTGAAGCTGCTTTGACACAATCTACATTGTAAAAGCGCTATACAAATAAAGCTGAATTGAATTGAATTGAATACAGCAGATTATAATATTTCAGCATATGGCTAGTTTAAATAAAAATGTCATATTAGCAGCTAGTTTGTGAATTTCATATTAAGGACAGATACTACTTTATGCGATTTATATATAATCATGCCCTTTCCAAGCAACATGGAATTCACGCCCTAATTAAAAAATAATAATATGACACTAATATGTACCTAACTAGCTCTTTAAAGGGATAAAAGGCTTTAAGGCCACCGAATAATCAAGACTGTCAAGTTTTATTCAAATGAGTGCTGTCAGATGATTAATTATGACTAATCTCCTAAAAAATAAACCTTTTTATTTACATAATAAGTAAATACAAAGTTTTTGTCTGTGTGCTGTGTATATTTATTATACAAAAACACCCAGTCATGTATATACAGTTGATGTCAGAATTATTAGCCCCCTTTGAATTTTTTTTCTTTTTAAAATATTTCCTAAATGATGTTTAACAGAGCAAGGAAATGTTCACAGTATGTCTGAAAATATTTTTTCTTCTGTGGAAAGTCTTATTTGTTTTATTTTAGCTAGAATAAAAGCTGTTTTTTTATTTTTAAAAGCCATTTTAAGGTCAATATTATTAGCCCCTTTAAGCTATATTTTTTAACAGTCTACAGAAAAAAACATTGTTATACAATAACTTGCCTTATTACCCCAACCTGCCTAGTTACCCTAATTAACCTAGTTAAGTCTTTAAATGTCACTTTAAGCTGTATAGAAGTGTCTTGAAAAATCTTTAGTCAAATAATATTTACTGTCATCATGGCAAAGATAAAATATTAATGATGATTTATTAAAACTATTGCGATTAGAAATGTGTTGAAAATATCTGCTCTCCGTTAAATATAAATGGGAAAAAAAATAAACGGGGCTAATAATTAAGGGGGGCTAATAAATCTGACTTCAACTGTACATGTATAGAAAAATGATTATTTATATATAAATTAGTGCCAGGAAGAAATTAATCGCATCCAAAATACTTTTTTTTTTTAAACATAATATATATGTTTACATCTATTTTGTATATAAATACTCATGCAAATAATTCATGCATATAATTGAGAGAATGTTTATTTAAATTTGGATATAAAATATATATGATACAAATTATAGACAAATTTAAATATCTATGTGGCAAAAGTGTAGTTTTTATGTATGTGTTTGCATCAAATATACATCTTAATTATATTTATTAAATACACTCACACATACAGTTGAAGTAAGAATTATTAGCCCCCCTAAATTATTAGACCGCTTGTTTATTTTTTCTCCAATTTCTGTGTAACGGAGAGCAGATTTTTTTCAGCACATTTCTAAACATAATAGTTTTAATAACTTATTTCTAATAACTGATTGATTTTATCTTTGTCATGATGACAGTAAATAATATTTGACTAAATATTTTTCAAGACACTTCTATACAGCTTAAAGTGACATTTAAAGGCTTAATAAGGTTAACTAGGCAGGTTAGGGTATTGTATGATGATGGTTTGTTCTGCAGACTATCGAAAACAAACTAGTCTAAAGAGGCTAATAATTTTGTCTCTAAAATGGTTTATAAAAAATTAAAAACTGTTTTTAATCTAGGCGAAATAAAATAAAATAAGACTTTCTCCAGAAGAAAAAATATTATCAGACATACTGTGAAAAATTCTCTTGCTCTGTTAAACATCATTTGGAAAATATTTTAAAAAGAAGAAAAAAAAACTGAAGGGGGCTAATATTTCTGACTTCAACTGTATATTGTGTCAAAACAAATTTTTATTTTGAATTCAAATTATCTTTGCCCAGCACTTATATAAATATTTAATTGATATAACAATATATCAATATTTTTTTTCGATAGTCTACAGAACAAACCATCATTATACAATAACTTGCCTAATTACCCTAACCTGCCTAGTTCACCTAGTTAAGCCTTTAAATGTCACTTTAAGCTGTATAGAAGTGTCTTGAAAAATATCTAGTCAAATATTATTTACTGTCATGATGGCAACGATAAAATAAATCAGTTATTAGAGATGAGTTATTAAAACTATTATGAATAGAAATATGCTGAAAACAATCTTCTCTCTGTTAAACAGAAATTGGGGAAAAATATAAACAGGGAAGCTAATAATTCAGGAGGTTCAATAATTCTGACTTCAACTGTATACACATGTAAGACTGTGCATTTATATACAGAATAAATACTCAATACATAAACATATTATATTACAAATACAAACTGCATTAATAAAAATCATTAAACAATCGAACATAGTAGCAAGACAGGATTACTGTACCTATTTTCACAATAACATCTTCAGTGGACAATGACTTTTTGCGTTTTTTCTTCTTTTTCACTGAACTGTCAGCCTCTTCAGTAGGATCTGTGTTTTGAACACTTTCACTCTTCTTTATTTTCCCCTTCGTCTCTTGCAGTTTGTGTTTTCTTTTCTTCTGTTCTTTCTCATCCTGCTGCTCTTCTTTTTCTTTAGGTGTGTTTGAGACGCTCTGCTGTCCCCTGGCTTTGACCTGCTTCTGAAGTTTAGCCAGTAAAGCTTTGGAGCGAGACTGCTTTTCACTGTCCTCCTCTTCCTCCTCCCCCAAATACCTGATCACAACATCAATAGACAAAGTATCACATCAGATGAAGGAACACTCCACTTAAAAAACATAAATAAATAGGATATCTAAAACTGAGTTAAACCATTGAGTTTTGCCATCTATTCAGAAGATCTCCGGGTCTTGTAGCTACATTTTTAAATCCATTCAGACAATCTCTGGGTCTGGCGGGAGCGCTTTTAGCTTAGCATAAATCATTGAATCGGATTAGACCATTAGCATCTCACTCAAAATGATCAAAGAGTTTTGATGATTTCCCTTTTCAAAGCTTGACTATTCTAAAGTTACATTTTCAATCCATTTTGATGATCTCCGGGTCTAGCAGGAGCACTTTCAGCTTAGCTTAGCATGAATCATAGAATTAGATTAGACCATTAGCATCTCGCTCAAAATGATCAAAGAGTTTAGATAATTTCTCTATTTAAAAGCTTGACTCTTTTGTAGTTACATTTGCAATACATTCAAAAGTTCTCTGGGTCAGGCGGGAGCACTTTTAGCTAAGCTTAGCATAAATCATTGAATGTGATTAGACCATTAGCATCTCACTCAAAAATGACCAAAGAGTTTTGATAATTTTCCTATTTATAGCTTGACTATTTTGTAGTTACATTTACAATCCATTCAGACCATCTCTGGGTCAGGCATGAGTGCTTTTAGCTTAGCTCAGCATAAATCATTGAATCAAATTAGACCATTAGCATCTTGCTCAAAATGACCAGAGTTTTGGTAATTTTACTTTTCGAAGCGTGACTATTCTGTAGTTACATTTTAAATCCATTCAGATGATCTCCGGGTCTAGCTGAAGCGCTTTTAGCTTAGCATAAATCATTAAATCAGATTTGACCATTAGCATCTCGCTCAAAAGGACCAGACTTTTGATAATTTCCTTATTTAAAACTCTTCTTTACATTTTTTATATATTCAGACAATATCTAGGTGGCAGGGACACCTTTGGCTTAGCTTAGCATAAATCATTGATTGATATTATATTAGACAGCTCCTGAAAATCTTGCAACAATGGAGACATTTGTGAGACTCGATTCAAACTATTTTCATTTATTTGTGTAAATGTCATTGAGCAAAAGTACTTGATTATTATGCCAAACGGAGAGTATAGGTTCTAGCCAAGTTAGCCATGCACAATAATAATAATAATACATGAATTATTAAAGGTGCTATTAATAGAAAAAACTATTTATAAATGTAAGATAAACAAAATCTTACGAGATTAACTTGCACAATTAATTAATTGATGTAAAGTTGGTTTTATTTTCGCACATTCAAACTTTCTCCTTAATAATTTAATTTCACACAAAAAATATTCTGCTAATGTAAAATAAACTACAACAAATTATAGTGCTAATGTTGTTTTCCAGTTATATTTAAATTTAATTTCATACCGAATATTTAAAGTACCATCGTAAACAATATCGGGAGCATGACATATGTTGTCACTGCGAATGTGTTATTATAGGGCTAAAGGTAGTATTTATAATTGCACCGATAAAATAAATTAAGAATACAATAACGTTAAAGAACTTCTTGTCGGCAAAGTAAACAAAGTGCAATATATACCAACATACCTGTTTATCGTAAATAGCGCCATTTTAGGGACTCTTGTCAGCTGCGCTTAATCCTTTAATTCGCTTACTTACAAATTATTATAACTGTTTTACTTATGTACAGGTTTTAAAGATAAAAATATGCACTGTACATTAGCCATGTGGGTTTCGGCGTCGCGAAGCTATGACGTAGCTAACTTTTACACAGATATAACAGGGTAAAGTAAAAGATATCTTTGTTTTACTATTTGCTGGTTACCATATGCTGGTGGTCTAGTCGGCGTTTATAAATGGTCAAGTTTGTCAGTAGTTTTTCTGTTGTAAATCGTCGTTGATTAAATATTTTTCTAATTTCGATGAATGTGTTGTCACGTGGAACACGTACTATTCTCTGCGCTGAGAAGGACTGGCCAATCACATTAGTTTGTGATTACTAAATTCAGTTGTGTGAACGTTTGTTTACGTTTGATGTGTTACATTTAGATTTCATGTATAAAATCGCCTAAAATAAAACAATGGCGGTGAGAGAGAAAAGCTGTTAAAGGAACTGGCTTTTTTAGGAAGAATTATTCATTACAATAATTATATTTACAAGCAAATAACCACCAGATGGCAATGTTTACTCAATTGATCAATTTCAACGAACAGAAAAGAAAATTATTACTTTTATGAAATACTCATACTGGTGTGGAGGGAAAAGGCTTCAGTTGGGAAAATAGTTGAAGGTAAGTACTTTATGTAAGCGTGTGTGTTTGTGTGTCTATTTATATTATGAATCCATGAAATACATCGCTTTGACAAAAGCTTCAATTTGCGAAAAATAGTTGAAAGTACTAACGTTATATGTTAATGTGCGCGCGTGTTCATCTATTTATTTTACCGATGAATCCATGAAATATATTATTACAGTTTGACAAAAGCAGAATAATAAGCATCAAAACAGTAAAAAAAGTTTTTGTTTTTCCGTTAATTGAATGTCCGCTTCAAACCAGCCTAGGTTGGTTGGCTGGTTTTAGTTGGTTGACCAGCCTGGTTATAGAGGGGTTTTGGCTATTCCAGGCCGGTATACAACCATTGTTTTAGCTGGTCAGGCTGGGAGATGACCAGCTAAAACATTTGTTCATTCATTTTCTTTTTGGCTTAGTCCCTTTATTATAAGGGATTGCCAGAGCGGAATGAACCACCAACTTGTTCCACGCAGCGGATGGCCTTCCAGCCGCAACCCATCTCTGGGAAACATCCATACACACTCATTCACACTCATACACTACGGACAATTTAGCTTAACCGATTAACCTGAACGCTTGTCTTTGGACTGTGGGGGAAACCGGAGCACCCCGAGGAAACCCACGCAAACGCAAGGAGAACATGCAAACTCCACACAGAAACGCCAACTGACCCAGCCAAGGCTCGAACCAGCGACCTTCTTGGTGTGAGGCGACAGCACTACCTACTGCACCACTGCGTCGCCCTAATTTATAATGATC